ATAGAATGATACGATTATTGTTAAACAATTTTTATTTTTGCTTTAAATATGTTAAATAATTTAAATATTATAACTTAATTATAATTATTTTCAATTTGTACTTTGATTTGTATTTTTATATATTGTGCTTTGGTTTACTTTTCGTCGGTTTTTCCTTAAAACTGCTTTTGTCGTTCGTTTGCATAAGGATAAGAATTTGTGAACATTTTGCAATCGCATATCAAAAGGAGTTTCATTGTCAAGGGTTTCGATACGTAGCAATCTCATCTAGGGCAATCATTGTTATTTGTGTTATTACTAATTGCATTCTTACGATTACAATTATGAATACTATAACAAATAATATGATCTAATCGATTGCGAACACTATTTAGTTTTTATGTAATTAAAGGATTTGTTGAGTTACTAGAGAGATCGTTGATTTCTAAATTTATAGGTTGAATTGTTTAATGATAACGTATAGTGCATTTGTAAATATTATCGAAAACCATAGACTTTGATGGATATTTCAAAACACATGATATGATAAAAACATATGATATGATAAAATGATAGATCTTTTCTATGTCTCCTTTTTGATTAAATGTCAGATCCATTCTAAATATATTTCCCTTAGTATATTTCAACAAATACAACATCCCGTTATAAATAATAATTTTAATTCCAACGAATAACCAATCGATAAATTCGTAAAAATTGGGCTCTTTCTGGCATATATAAATACGTAATAAAAAATGAAATAACTTTAGATACTAGTCTCGTGTTTTGGAATTTGGAGATACAATTAAACATTTTGCTTGTATCATTTTACTTGATGTAGTCACAAACGAGCTTTACATTTCGGTATTGAAAGTTTGACAACACTGTAATTTGAAAAATCATATTGCTGGAGCATTCACTAGTTCCCCAACTCACCGTTGTTTAAACGTAGAGTGCGCTAAAAAACCAGTGAGTTTTTACTATGTCGATATTTCAGGCCACAAGCACGAAATCCCGTAAGATGCTGCTATTCATATATCTCGTCGGTGGACGGTTTTAGATGACGTATATGACGAGATATATGAATAGCATTGCTATCATATAACCTCGTCTGTGGTGAATACGTTGAGAAACTAGACTCTTTTTCCTGGTCGATATTGCAGACCCTGAGACACGAAATCCCATTTAATGTCCAGTCTATTCTGTTTTTAGTCCATGGTACTACTATATGTGTACATTGAATCAATAACGTCGCATGTGACACAAAAATGACAAGGAACAAAATAAAAACATTAAATTGCCATCTGTTTTAGCGTTTTCAATAATTGAATTAAACATAATTCCTACATAAATCGTAATAAATCTCAAATGAATAAAAGAGATGGATAGTCTCTAAACCCTAGGACATAAAAAAGCATTGAATATCATGTCTATTCTACCCTTAGTCAATGCTTTTACGTATCTACGGCGTCTCCGTAAGTTAATTACGAATATTGACATTTCGAAGAAGCTGTTGCCGTTTCAGGTTCTTATAAAACATATTGTATTTATAATCACTTTGTGTTATTTGTACAATATATGTGAAATTGAAACGTTATGTTAGGTAAATTTTAAAAAATATTCGCCTATGTGCTATTTTAGAGTTATATTTACACAAATTTGTATGAATTAGTAAATGACTTTATAACATAAATATTGCAGGGTTTTTCCAATATCACAATATTCAAACGAAATATCAGTGAAAGAAGTAGTGTAAATTGTTTCCAGAAGGATATAATTAAACATGTCAACTATAGAAGATAAAATTTTAGGCGAAAAATTACACTATTATTGTAGTAGTTCTAGTGAAGATGAAAATGATTCTGCAAATTCTGATAAAGAAACGGAAAATGAGAAATATCCGCAAATCATTACAGATTCCATAGAACCATCATTTTCAGAGTGGGATGGCACTTCTAGTAATACAGGACCTAAGGGTGTTATAAAAGTAAAATTACGATTGTTATTGAAAATTTATACTAATGATATACATTTTAATCTGTTATAATCATATTCATCATTTCAAGGATTGGCAACGATACAAACAACTGCAAGCAGAAAAGAGGGAAGAACAAGAAAAAGAAAGGCTTCAGTTAATAAAGAAACTGAGTCTAACATGTCGCAGTTCTTTAGATGAGGAAAAAGAAAAAATTATACAAAGTGATCCTGATCTTGCTGAATTACTAACTGATGAATTTCTTTTAGAGTATCAGAAACAAAGGATGAAAGAAATGCTTGCAAGAACTAAGAAACTTCGTTTTGGTAGAGTAATTAATTTAGAAACAGCAGATCAATTTTTAGAAGCAATTGACAATGAAGATAAATCAGTGACAATCGTTGTTCATATTTATGAACCTAATATCCCTGGCTGTGAAGCTATGAATGGTTCTTTAATATCTGTTGCAGAGGATTATCCTCTTGTGAAATTTTGTAAAATTTTAGGTTTGTACTAGATTTTGTACATCTTACTTTTATGTCATTTATATTATGATATATAATATTACTTTTGTTGCAGGTTCAGTAGCTGGACTCAGTAAACATTTTAAGAAAGAAGGAGTTCCAGCTCTGTTAGTTTATAAAGCTGCTCAAGTAATAGGAAATTTTGTTCACGTAACTGATTATTTAGGAGTAGACTTTTATGCTTCTGATGTTGAAGCCTTTTTAATTGAACAAAGGATGCTTACTGATAAAAACTGTATATCTGTCATCACTTCACATAATGAACATGCATTATCAGACAGTGAATAAATGAAAGAAACAAATATTTTTCATAATTTTGAATGTATTCTTCCTAATATAATTTAAAAAATTTAATATAAATTTCATCTATTTTTTCTTAAACAATATAAATTAAAGAATATATAGATATTATTTAAATGTAACAGGAAAATATCTGAAAATAATACTTTTTATGTAGAAATAAATTTATATATATATATATATATTATATAAATATATATATATAAATGCATATAAGCAATACAAATATTTATATTCATTTTAATACAAAATATAAATTTATACATAAATGCATTAAGAATTAATTTATTTTTGGACAAGTAACTTAAAGTTTTTCCAATATTTGTTTTTTTTTATCAATAGCTTTGCAAAAATGTAGATAAGTTTTTAGAATTTCACTATATTCTGTGTTTTGTAACTCTTCATACTGCTTTTTCAAGTTTTTCTTTTCTTTAATTTCATCCAAAATTGCAAATAATTTTTTATCTAAGGTCGTATTCAATATTCTGTATGCATCAATTGTTACTGGGGTTTCCTTATACATTTTTATAATACATGATAATTTTGTAATCTTTGCTTGTACCTCTGCAACTTGAGCTTGCAATAATATGTATTCTGCTTTCTCCAAGTAAATTTTACTTACGTCCTTATATTTTAAAATATTCCATTTATTCATTAAAGTCTTGCATTTCGTAATATCTGCTTCATATTGACTACATAATTCTTCAATTTTATCTTTCCATTGGAATATTTGTACTTCGTCAGACTCGAGTATCTTTTTACGCATATTGCAATCAGTTAATCTTATAATTTCCTTCATGTTTCCTCCCAATTGTTCATACCTGAAATATAACACAACTATTTTATTTTCATTTGTAATTCATTATGTAATAAATTCTAATAATATTATTAAACCTTAATCAAACCTTAATATCAATTCGTGTATTTTCTCTCGTAGCAATGTTTCTACATAACATTTAATGTCTGATATTTCTTCATAATTAAAATCATATTTTGGTAAATCAGTGATTCCCAAAATATTTAATTCTTCTTGCATATTTTTTGATGTAGGTGGTAAATGCATGTATTTATTAAGCTCATGGATCAAAAGTAATCTTTTTAATTTGACAACAACATCATCAGACAATGTTCCTTTTACATTTATTAATGTCTCTTCTATACATTCCAAAATTAGTTTATTTTTTACATGTTCTGCTATACTATCTTCGCATGAAGCAAGACATTTTATTGTTTTTTCTAAATGGTTAGATTCTTGAATATTTCTGCTTGTATTATAACTTAAGTTACATTGTTGTTCAAATAAATTTTGCAATGAATCTACTCTACCAAATATTCTACTGCAATTCAAACGAGAAATTCGGGAAATATCTGAAAATAAATAAAATTTATTTTACTACATTATGAATCTCATATTTTTACATTGTATTTAATTTTAAACATTCTTACTTCGAGAATTTACATACCCAAAATTTGACTTATATCGCTAGAACTATTCATGTTGTCAATTTCTTCTAACTTTTCCTAACTAATTAGACAAGTACTTTTCAAATTCAAACGGTTAAAGAAATGATCAAAGTTATAGAGTATGTACTGTCATACTTGTAAATTCTCCATAAATTTGTTAAAGTAGTTTTCATGTAGTATTAAAATAGATAGTTTACATTTACTATTAAAATAGATAGTTTACATTTACTTTATCAACTAAAAGATAAAGCTAAGTAATATTATAATTATATATTGATACTAATATAATTATAGTATACAAAAGATATGATAAATAATATACTTGTCTTTAGAAGTACTCAATGGACATCTGTACTCAAAAGACAGTATAAATAAAGAACGTAAAAGATTGCATCTACGTTAGTTTGTTCATAGCCACAGACGGCGTCTGTTGAATTGTGCTTAACCTGAAAAATGGCGGCCAACATTAGTGGAGTATTCACTGAAAATTTACGAAATGCAATACTTCAAAGTAAAGTACTTATTGTGGGTGCTGGCGGAATTGGATGTGAAATATTAAAAAATCTAGTTATGACAGGATTTGTCAATATCGAAATTGTAAGTATTCTAATGTTTGTCAAAATATGCAACCATTTTCTAACCTATACATTTTCCCTCCTTTACTGGTGCTCATTGTCGCCCAAACTTCAAAACCGGCATTTATATTGTTACAACATATCGTAATACTATGTACAATATTATGTCCATGTATATGTACAATGTGTACATATGTAGTAATATTATGTACAATGTTATGGTTTTAGAAAAACAATTCTTGAAATTAAACTAATAGCATTTGTTGTTCTAACAGCAGTAAGATTATTTCTAAATGTATATTTTATTTTCAGATTGATTTAGACACGATTGATGTTAGCAATTTAAACAGGCAGTTTTTATTTCAAAAGAAACATGTAGGAAAATCAAAAGCTGATGTTGCAAAAGAAACAGCATTAACATTTAATCCCAATGCAAAAATTATTCATTATCATGACAGTATTACAACGTATTTTCATCTTCTTATATTTTTATATTTCTGGAATAGTATATTTTATAATTAATTGTGTCTTTACATTTACAGTTCCGACTATGGAGTATCATTTTTTAAAAAGTTTACGTTAGTTATGAATGCACTTGATAATAGAGCAGCTAGGAATCATGTAAATAGAATGTGTTTAGCAGCAGATGTACCATTAATTGAATCTGGTACAGCTGGTTACGAGGGTCAAGTAGAACTCATAAAAAAAGGATTAAGTCAATGTTATGAATGCACACCAAAAGCTGCACAAAAAACTTTTCCTGGTTGTACAATTCGTAATACACCTAGTGAACCGATTCATTGTATAGTGTGGGCGAAACATTTATTCAAGTAAGTTTTTTTTTTTAAATAATATTTCTTTAAGAAGGCATATAAAAACATTCTTAAATTTTATATAGTCAGTTATTTGGTGAAGAAGATTCTGATCAGGATGTATCTCCAGATACTGCTGATCCAGAAGCAGCAGGTAATAATATTTTAACTTATAAATTTTTGTAAAGTAATGTATACATATAGAAATTGTATATTATAGACTCTGCAGGCCAAGGTGCTTTAAACTCAGAATCAAATGAAAAAGGAAATGTTGATAGAATATCAACTAGAGGTTGGGCACAATCATGTAATTATGATTCAGAAAAATTATTTACAAAATTATTCCATGATGATATAAAATATTTGCTGAGTATGGATAATTTATGGAAGAGAAGAAGACCACCTATTCCTTTAAGTTGGAAAGAATTACCAGATGGAGGTTTGTAAAATGATTGAAAACCGTGTATTTCTATTTAATTGAAAACATATGTCCCATTAAAATTTTTTACAATATAGTACCAGGATGCAGTAAAGAAATAAATGAACCTGGCTTGAAAGATCAACAACGTTGGAGTATTTCCAAATGTGGTACAGTATTTGCTGAGTCAGTGAAAAGTTTAAGCAATAATTTGAAAGCTTTACAAGAAAAATCACCAAACAACCATTTAGTTTGGGATAAAGATGATCAAGATTCAATGGATTTTGTTGCTGCGTGTGCTAATATAAGAGCTTACATTTTTGGTATACCTCAAAAAACGAGGTTTGATATAAAATGTAAGAAAATAATTACTAATTATTGCAGATAAAAAAATTATAGGTTTTTCTAATTTTATTAATATTTTATTAATGTTGTAGCAATGGCAGGAAATATAATTCCTGCAATCGCAACTACAAATGCGATAGTTGCCGGTTTGGTTGTTCTTCATGCGTTCCGAATTCTCGAAAATAATTTAAAGTCATGTAAATCTGTATATTTGCGTTCGAAAATGAATCATCGTAATCAGTTATTGGTACCAGAAAAAAATGTCAATCCACCAAACCCTAAATGTTACGTATGTGCACCTACACCACAGGCAGTATTAGCAATTGATACATCAAAAACAACAATCAAAGAACTTGATGAAATAGTATTAAAAAATAGGTTGAACATGATTGCTCCAGATGTTATGATAGATGGTACTGGTAACGTTGTTATCAGCAGTGAGGAAGGTGAAACTGAAGACAATAATAATAAATTCTTAGAAGAATTAGGAATTAAAGATGGTACCATTCTTAAAGTCGATGACTTCCACCAAAATTATTCATTAACTGTAACAATAGTCTATAGAGAACGGCCGAGTTTAAAAGATGACAGTCCTGATTTCGTCATTTTAGCCAAAGAACAAGATCTCAAACCTAAAGAAGAAGATTTAGTGAAACCATCCACTTCAAATGGCCAGGTAAATAAATTAATATATTGCTGCTTAAAAATTTAAGAATATATACAAATTAAGAATTTTATTCAGGTGGAAACATCCGATGACAATGTAATGATTGTTGAAACTGAAACATCATTAGATGTGGCAAAGAAACGTAAAATTGAAGCTTCTGAAGAAAATGCATCAAAGAAACGAAAATTGGAAGTTAATGATGTGGATGATGATATTTCTATAATTGAAAATGATATAAATAATGACATTGATAAAGTAAAATCAAATTTCAAAACACATAAGAATACAGAAGAGAAAGATGATGATTGTTTAATTGTACATGATGATAACAAATCAATAGTTGTAACATCCCAGTGAGTGAATTAAATACGTCGAAATAAAAAACTTATAAATTCTATTTTTTGAAATTAATACGTTGATCAGTTAAATTTATGTAAAAGGGTATGTTTGTACAAAAACTGTACATACTTACCAATTTCAGTAGTTTTATATATCTTATTTTGCGAATTAAATTTTCATACAATAAGTAAATAAGTTTATAATACATAAACATATAATGACAATGGAAACAAATGGCGTATGTATAATAGTAATCTTACCGAAGTTATTTTTGAATGCTATGTATTTTAATTTCTACAAATATTTATAAAAAATACATAGTGTTATGTTTATAATACGTAATTTCACAGATTGTAGTTATGGAATACATTTTTATACAAAAAACAAATAAATACATTTTTCTTACTATAAAATATTATACTTTTCTATTTGATTAAAGTGTTTGAAATTTTTTATTTGCACAATTCATGTAGTAATTAATATTGTAATTGTACATTTCAAAATCAATTTTATATTTTTCATGTAATTTTAAAACTATATCTTGTGTCAAATTTGCGAAATACTTGCATGTAGTGTCAAAATTCGTATGCCCACCCTGTGTTTCTCCTAATGTAGTAAAATATACTTTATTTTTATCCAAACCAAATTTAGAGAAAATATAATTAATTTGTCCATATGTATAATCATCCAATTTTAAAACATAATTATACCGTATATTACACACAGCACAATGTGAATAATATTGAGTCCAATGAACATCATCGTTTTCAGAACTTTGTAAAAGCCACACCAAAAATTCTTTAAAAGTTGGTACTATTTTTAATCTTTATAAAAAATAAACATGTATTAAAAACTACTAACAGTTAAATAAAATATTTTTATTGCTCTCTAATTATTATACCTTTTATCAGATGTAAATACTTTTTGTTGAAAATTACCAGTTGTTGTATTTGAATGGAACAATTCAGGTCTTGTAAGGCGAAATATTTTTTCTGTATAAATCCAAGCTTGTGCAGTATATTTTGAATTATCTGCTATTCGATCTCTAGAAATTAAATTAAATTAAGAAATGTAATTTTATTCAATAATTTAAATATATTCAAAACATTGAAAAGTAGTACCTATATGATGATACAAGCCTTTGAAAAGGATGTCGTACAACGAGAAGTTTAAATATTTTTGTATTATTTGATAAAAGTTGCAATTCCTTTAATGTTCTCAATGTTAAAGAATCAATTTCTCTATAATTTAAATAATTTAAAAGTTAAAGTAATTAGAAAAATTAAATATTTAAAAAGTAAAAAGTAGTACTTATAATAATTTCGTGTGGGTGGATGATTTTTCATATCTGCAAATAATTTTGTAAAACTTGTTGAAGCTACTTTGCGAATCCAGCAATACATTGATTTATGTTCAGGATTATATAAAAAATGCCTTTTTATTAAAGGAGTTCTTAAATTATATTTCATACATACATTCGAAATTTGTTGCAATATAATTGCACTTTCCTATTTAAAAAAAACAATATTAGTATACTATATTCAAGCAATATAAAAGTATAATTGCTTACCTGTAAATTAACTGATTCTCCTTTCCTTTCATCATGTTCTAAAAGTTCTATCTCTAAATTGATTGATTTTATATTTGATTGAGAAACTACAGAATATTCTTGCTTTGTTTGATTGTACTTTATTAAAAATAACGAAACTGGATATTGTATTAAATAAGAACTATGTTTTATTTTTAATAAAAAGAAGCAAACTGCAATGTATAAAATAACACATAATATGCATTTTACAAATTGCATTTGAAGTGACATAATTAAAACTAAAGAGAATATTCAGACAACTGTTAAGATTAAAACATCCGTCCGGGAATTGTCTGTGGAAGTGGAATAAAAGATAAAATTTATCTTTTAGTTTCATTATTTTGCTACTATAATGAAGAAAAAATTGAATATTATACTAATTGAAAAGGTAAAAAAGAAATGAAATCAACCTTTTTTTTAAAATCTTTACTACGAAATAACGCCAAAAACATATATAAATCAATGATCTCAATACATATTCAGTGTTAGGCTGTTTCTGTAACTAATAGTTTTAATAATTATATGTAATGTATGAGTGACATATATTGTTAATTATAACCAAAATATTTTTTTTTTGCAACTATTTTTATAAATTTTAAGTTACGATTGATATTACGATTTACAATCATTTCAATTATTTTGGATTATTGCAAAAATAAATCTTTATCGATGGCAGTAGTCTATATTAAGATGGCATAATTATTTTACGAAATTCAATTATAAAAATTAGCGTATCAGATGTAAACAATTATTTATCATAATTCAATTGATTCACAATAATTTTATAATTATTTGTAAAATAGTTCAAATACCAACATGTGTAAAAATTACAAAAATATATAAATAGTACCTAAATTGAATATAATAAAAAGATTAAACGAATAAGTGAATTATGTTAATAAAAAAATATATTCATACTAAATGCATATGACACAAAATCTAATGAATTGTGAATCAATTCTACAATTTGTTTATTACATATCATTATACAAAACTAAAAATTAAGTTATTTTTACAATTTCAATAGTACAGTCAACAATTGACTGCTTTTGAACATATTTCCCATCAATTTATATCATAACATTAATTTTGTTAAAAATTATTTATGTATACGATTATAACTTTACTTTTTTTGAATTATTAATGCAAATAATTACATGATGATCAAACTTACTATTGCCATGATTCAAAAATGTCAATCAACAATACCTTGAGAACCCTTACTATATGTGCATGAATGAAGAAATAAAAGAATAAATGAACAAAAATAATATTCAAAATTTCTTATCTACGGTCTCTATATCTGTGGTGATGATCACGGGAGGATCGATGATCACTGTGTCGGCTATGACGACTCGCTGTTCTCCATAAGAATTCATCTACACTCCTTTCGTAACTACGTTTTTCAAGAGCAGACGCTGCAGCACTGTAATCAGGTGGTAATGGTAATCCATCGTAATATCTAGGTGGTGGCGGCGGCGGAGGTAAAGAATCATATGGATGAGGTGCAGCATAAGGAGGTAAAGGAGGCAATTGATGTTGCATAGTACGCATATAATCTGCAACATACGCTTCAGCTGCAGCAGCTACACCTAATCCTGTGCTACCGTACCCTCTGTAAAATTTATAATTATTAAAAATAATATATTAGGTTTACAACATATGTTAAAACACATACATACTTGGAGTAAGGAGAGTCACTTCGATTAAACCAAGTAGCATACCGGTGATGATGATGGTCTCTCGATCCTCTATGTTCATTACTAGCCAAATGAGATCCTCTAGCTAATGAAGCTAAACGAGATCGTGAAGTTAAAAAGAGTCTACGCCCTCTACCTCCTCTTGAGCGTAAAAATCTAGGACTGTTATTAACAGGTCTACTATCCCGATATGAACGAGATTTCATAATATGTTTTGCTGCTTCTTTAGATTTTCTCAAGATTGGGGTCATTTCAATTCCTAAAATTTATTACAAGTTACATTTATTTATTATAAAATATAATCCTTGAAAAAAAGAAATTATATACTTTAATATACCTTCATCTTCTGGAAATAATCTGCATAATTCTTCTGCAACTCTTGGTTCAATTTCTTGTCCATCACGTCCAATTTTAACCTGTTTACCATCATTCCATGGATTATATAAATGCAGTGTTGCTGTAAATGGTAATTCTTTTCTACAAATCCAATCAACTTTAAATACACCACCCAAAGCTTTTGCAGACAATCCAGGTGGTAATACCTAAAATTTATATAAACTTCTTTCCTAATAATATATGAGGCAATTTCTAAAAATATATTTCTTGTATTAAATATACAAACCCAAGAAATTGGTGCACCATCTCTTCTAGATTCTGTACTTAATCTTGCAAATCCAGCAAATTTTCCTGATTCTTTTACAGAAAATACAAGCAAGACATTCCTTGATTCTCTATAAGCTTGATTTAAATTGGCTTCATTTTGTGGTAATGTGCTCCATACTCCTTTAGCCTTTGATAGTGTGACATTTTCAGCATTGTTTGATTTGATAATGAAAAATCTGATAAAAAAAACTTTAAGACATGTTCTTTGTTTTTATATTATTATACTTATCTAAACATTTATAAACAATTTCAGACAGTACTAGTTTACAATTATAACTTATATTTTTCATATAAAAAATATATATATATATAAAGAAACAGAAAACATAAAACATAAAAATATATATATAATAACAGAAATATTTGTATCTTAAAAAAATAGCCCACCTTGCATCTCTAAACAAATAATTTAATTTTGTCGCATAATCATAACTTTTAGTAATTCCTTTGCTCTCCTTAGATCTTGCACGTTTTGTTTCAGGACTAGAAGATTTAGAATCTCTGGATCTAGCACGTTTCCCTCTGTTTTTCCGATTACGTTTATTATCTCCACGTGAAGATTTTGTTGAAACAGAGCTTATGCTTGGTTGACTAGAATCAGAATTTGAACTGCTAGATGAAACTTCACTACGTGTGTCATAAGTCTCATCTGCAGCAATTTTTAATTCATCCACTATGTCATTTTCCCCGCAGCTCAGATTTAAGTTGTCCCCGTCTGTATTATTGTCCATATTTTCACTTTTTATTCGATCACTTTCACTATTGGTCAAAAGTACGTTGTCACTTGTCCCGTCATCCAGGCTTTGTATTTCTGGATTTTTCGGGTTTTCTTGTGCGAAGAGAGAGCCAATGCAGTTCTGGTGCCTTTAAACCTTTTCTGAAACGCAAATATAAAAAAAGGCTTACTAGATAGATATCCAGTATGCAATAATACTTGTCCAAGAACAATATCATATTTGAATGGATCTTGTAGGTTTTATAATAATTATATGGTAGGAAATAATGTAGTAACATTTTTAGTATATGAGAAGAAAAGTTCAGAAGATTGCACGTGAAATCCGATTTAAAGTCACTGTGGTAAAAGATTAAAAAGTCCATTTGTCAAAATGTTTGATATTAAAATTGTCCTTATGTAGTTTAATTAAAACATTTATAAGTCTCATAGAAGTTTTTAATGTATATCTACTATTGCTGCAAGACTTCAAGGATTTCTTGCTTCAAGTAGATATAAATTATGCCTAATACTGCTAAGTTTTTATTTTGCTAAAAACAATGTTCGGCAAAGGAAAAGTTCCTTTTTTTTAAATAATTCACAAACATGTAAGTCCATGTATAAATTAAAAATAAATGTGCTCTTAAATGTTGCAGAGATTTTCTTTCTTTAATTTAACAGAGTGTAGTGACACAATTCTTGTTGCTCTATAAAACACAAGTATTTCTTTCAAACTTTGTATACGAAAGTTTATTATAAAGTTTATTACAAGTAGATAGTCTTGCTGAAATGAGCTTTTTAGCCTATTTAATGTGGAAAGGCGAGGAGTCTTCGAGTTTTTCTGTATTTCAGATAATAACACATCATACTCGTTTGACGTCTCTAGCCTTTAAAACGCGAAGGCTATGCTTAGGAAAGTTCGTCGTGAATCTTATTTTTAATAATAACGTCAGCACCACAGAACATACTCAAAACCATCATTTTCATCATGGATTTTATTAAGAAAGTTCATGTTTTATAAACATAAGTCCTTGCTGTTATAAACCTTTTACGCAGCTCGTACACACTTACGTGCACACTCGTTCTTCACTTAACACACTTCGCACCTCACGCAAGAATGCTCAATGATTATCATGTATTTAACAATTATTCCTATTATTTCTTTACACGAAATACACAGAAAATCTGCATAAGGGATTGTGTTTCCTTTTTTATGAAAACACAGTAACTGACTGTCTCCTCACGCATAAACCATGGCGTCCATTATATGACGTGTTCATTACGATCGATAGAAGGAAATTGTAGTTGAAAATTCAAATCGAAATAAATTTTAGAAAATTTTATTTCTGTTATTTCCTTTCTAAAATTATCTGCGAATTTGTATGTTTTCCATTAAAATTTATCTTTCTTAGATATAAAAAGTAATAGAATGCTGAGTGACGATAATGTAAATTTCTTAAGCTAAATACTTGAAATTTATAGAATTTCCATCTTGCTGATCTATTGAGATCATTCATTTAAATTTATTACTTTGCATTATGACAGTGTGTTTGAATATTAAATGTAAAAACATGTAAAATAAGAATAAACTATATATATTTTTTTTGGTGTGTGTATAAAATTTCTTAGAATTAAAATCCCTAGTATCACCCATGGTCGCCATCTTTAAAAAGAAATGACGACCATCTTGGATCATTTTTCACGGGTTGTTGACACGGAAAGTTACAGCCGGTCGTGAAAGTGTTTCGCGATGTAAAATTACTCATAATTAATTCCCGGGAATAAGTAGTGATCGTTTAAAAACTAGAATTAAAAGTTAGATACCGGTTCACGTATTTAAGATTATTGTGCAAGTATTATTATATATGAAAATATAAAAAAATTTGTGGGAATAAGCGTCTGTCATGAATATAAGCAATCTTGACAAAGTCGAGAGTTAAGTCTTATCATATTTACCCAGAATTTGATAAAACAGTATTTTTGCGGTTGTGTTTGTATATGTGAGAGAAAAGTTGTGTTGTTAAAAAAAAGAAGATAGAAAACGCTGAAAATACGTGTTACGAAGGAAAATGGTCTCGTGCACATGGTGACACTTCTGGTTAGTTTATACTTTCTATAAACAATTTGTCATACTTTATTATAAAAGTAATTTGGCTCGATCGCGTGTATATTACTCTGTCATGAATTGCAAATTAGTTAAAAAATATATGAAAAAAAGAATTTTTCAATGATTATTACTATTACTACTGTAAATTTTTTGCAAGACTCAAATTTACTGGTCTGATAACTTATAATGGCGAAATATAACGTACGTTTACTTGAATTTTTGTAAATATTATTTGATTACTCATGCTGAATTATTCACGTTGTATAAGATTATAATATTTTAATTTTTATATATAATTATTATATATAATTTTTATACATAATTTTTATGCATAATTATACAGAATTATTGTCAGAACTTTTATAAATAATATTTAAATAATATTTAAAGTTCCATTTATCAATGTTTATTTTCTTAAAACAAACATGTTATAATCATTAAAAAATTTATAATATGAAATACATATTTTAAAAATTATACTTATAATAAATTATTTTTAATTTATATATTAAACATTAATTTATGTATATACAATATGATCAACCAAAAATTTGTATAATAAAAAACCTAGTATGTAAATTTTTTAAATTTATTAAATTAAAAATTGTATATTTGCCATAATTCATTGAAAATAACACTTAATATTAATGGTAATAAATATTATCAATATATCATCTTATAATCAATATAACTTTTAATAGCATCAGCAAACTTTTAATTATAGTGTCATATTTTTCTTCATGTTATCATATTTGAAATAATTATTTAAATATGATAGATCCATATTATGATGTAAGTGATAATAAAAATAAAGTTTATCATATTTTCTATTAAATTTTTTTGATTAATATAATTTTCTATTAAATTCTTTTGATTAATAACATTATTATTTGATTAATTTGTTAGAATTAAGTAATAATTTCCTTTCATTAAATTTATTTTAATTAAACAAATATTGAAAGAATAACAGGATAACATTTTGAGTGACACACAAAATATTATGAAAAAAAAAATTATGTGAAATGAAAGAAAATTTGCAACAATAGCCTTATTATTTATTTTAAGCTATATTTAACTTTAACCTATTATTATCAAGATGTGCACACATAATATATGCATTGTACATAATATAAGAATATAACATGTGCATGCTTCCACTTTTCATACTTCAACTACAGAGAAAGGATTCAAGTATTGATTGCAGGAGCATGGTGTGCTATGGCAATAGGAGGAGGGTGAAGCCCAGACAAGACCCCACCTCTTTATGTTATGCTTTCCATTTAAGTTTAACTTAGATCATTTCAGACAATCACAGTAAATATCTCTAATATTCAATATAATAAAATGCTTCATTAATATTATAAAAAAAATATGCTTTTTAGCTCAAAAATATACCTTTGAGGTTAAAAGCATATTGAGACAAATTAGTGATCTGTATAAACATTCAATGATTGTAAATGATTAAAATTCAGTTGTAAATACAAAATAATTTTATTTATAGATATAATATGTTTATATTTTAATGTATAATATGTTTATATCTTTATGTTATAATATAATTATAACATGTGGGTTAATTCATATACAATCAATTTTCATATTACATATATTAGTATGTTTTTTTCAGATAATTGAAAACATGATAAATATAAAAAATATATGAATGACAATGGGCTGAAATACATCATATTTTAAAATTCATCATTTTTATATACAAGAGGTGCAGGTAATGATGACACATAATATGTTTTACTTTTTATATTATTTTTTTAGAAAATTATATTCAAATTATCGAAGCAATTTATAATTGCTATACATATTATACAATATTTTATATTATTTTTCTTTTAGGGGAAATAAGTCATGGCAACGGTGGAAGAAAAGAAACGAGTTGGTGGCTCAAAGGTTTCAGCCATTGCAAATATCTTCCAATCAAAACCACAATTGGATAATCTAAGCCATAGGACAAATAATATTCTGTCAGATGGTTTCAAGGAACCAGCTGTGCCTTTAAAAGAATCTCCAACACAAGTTACAGTTGTTAGAACTGAGAGTCATGTAGCTCGTTTTAATAATGCACGTGCACTTTTTGAAAAACTTGGAGAGGAAAATAAACCAAATAAACCGTAAGTATAGAAAATAAATGTAGATAAAATATGTGATATATTATTAAATAATTTTCAAAATACATTTTCTATGTAGGGTGGACAGGATTACAAAACCTAGTAATTTACATGGTTTGAGATCACGCTCTAGTTCTGCAAATTCCGGATCAGGTTGTACATCTCCAGCTCGATCACCACGTCCCAGGTCACCATCACCTCCAGGAACCAGAGATCACTTGAGCAATTGGAGTGCAAGTGTACCAGCTTTAAATGCTGAAAGGCATTTCGAAAATGGTCATAATCACGGTTTGGATAATGTACCAGATAAACATAAATCACGGGTAGCATTTGGGAAATTTGACAAAAATTACGGTAAAGAAAATCGTTTAGATGATCGGCCAGAGAAACCAGAAAAACCTGAGAGAAGATTAAATTCAAAAGAATTAATTGAAAAACAAAAAAATTGGACTAGTCATTTTTCAAAAACAAGACCAAGTAGATATAATTCAGATCCAAATAGATCTTTGGTTCAAAGTTCTTTAAATCAGAGCGCAAGTAAAGTGAATGTTGAAGCTGCTTCTGTAGGACATGTGCAAAATGCTACAAATACTGATAATGAAACAAAAAGATCAACAGATATTTCTGCTAATCCAGCTACAAGATCTGCAAGTTTTTGTTCTGCTAGATCATCAGCTATATCTCCTCCTCCACCATTACCACCAACAAGAAATTCTTCTACTTCAAATGCAAAGAAAGAGAGACCAGCTAGTATTGCGGCAGTATCTCCACCAGATATTCCTAGCAGTCCAGAATATGCTACTATAAATAAATATTTTGATACTTCACCAACTATACCTGAATATGCAGTTGTACAAAAAAACACAAATGTGCAAAATAAACATTTCCAAAGAAACCAAGAACAACGAGAAATTTCAAAAAATGTAATCACTCCTTCAGTAGAAAAATCACAAGATGCGTTCATCCCAGAATATGCTGTAGTGCAGAAAAATACTGCAGCTAAAATGCATTCACGTAATACAGATCTATCGAAAAATACTTCAATGCATCATTCAAAAAATATTAATAGTTCCGAAAGTTGTGGTTTGCTTCTTAAAAATACTCTTACAAGTTCAAGTATTGATATCTATTCACAAACAAAATCGAATATTTCCTCCTATGATAAAAATTCTGATATGTCTAGTCCAACACGAAGTATGTCAATAGAAAATATTAGTGTATCAATGGAAAGTAAAATTAGAAAAGATAATGACTTACTTGATGCTCCTGAATATTTAAATTATCCTTCAAATGTTATACGTTCGCCACCTAAAACTTCTGAATGGAGAAATGAATGGTTAGCTAAAAACGATGAAATTTTAAAAAAAGCAACAGATTTAAAATCTACCAAGGAAGACGCAGAAACTAAAAATGAAGTTATAAGACCTGATCCACGACCAGACTGGGCCAGACCATGTATAAATACTATGAGGAAGAAAGATAGTTTAACAGAAGAAAAGAAAATTGAGACATCAAAATCTCCAGATCCAGAATTGAGACCACCTTCTGGAGGTACGGATAGTGCATCTTCTAGTATGAGCTCCCCTAGCTCCCCTTCCAAGGATAGTAAAGAAGAAAAGGCAGATAAGGAAATGTCAGAAAAATTTCAAGCTGGTATAGTATATGTGAATACTTTCCAATAACATGATTCATATCCATATAACAATATATAATAGCAAATACATTTAATACGTACGTACAAACAGACATAAATTTAATTTAAATTTATCTCTTAATAAGTGAACTTTATATTTTTTATTAATTACAGTTATCGCATAATAAATCTGAATTTTGCTGTTTTACTGTGGCTATGTGCCAAATACTAAAAAGTTACAGTATAGGAGGAAACTCTTTTCCTTTTCCTTTCCCTCCTCTTCTTCATCTTAGTTCCTCCTACTGGTTCAACAGTATTATTTATAGAAATCTGTATTCTGTTCTGCTTCTGTCTGGCTTTACTTCACACCATTTATTTCAGAGAAGTACTTTACAAATTTTAATAATTTATTTACCAGTATTTAATTAAAAATTTGCTTTATTTTTATGATACCTGTTTTATGTAAAGTGAATTTGCACAAGATGTACATAAATGACACATAAATTGTCTCTTGTAATAAATTTTCTGAAATGTGCTTTTAAAATGATTTTTTTTAAACAATTTTTAATAATAGTAATTTCAATTTGTTATTAAAAGAATTACTTTTCTGAAATAATTTCCTAAATTCTTTGAAATTCTAAAATATGTGTGTTGTTTTATCCTTCATATCCGATACATTTTTATCAAACATATATACTATGAAAAATTTTAGAAATTCACAAAATTATAGTTGTAGTTTTAAAAAAAATTTCAATGTTTTCATTTATCGCATGTGATTGTTCAATCCTATAAATTGTTTATTATTTTGTATATAAAGAAATACAAGTACCATGTGTTTACGACTACTTTGCATTGATTGCCGAGGTATTTTTGTTCAAAATTAATGATATACATATATCTTAGTATATATATTTTTTTATTATAAATAACGATATGATATTTTTATTTAAGGCCGTAACAGTTATGATCTGCAACATGAAGAACAAGAAAAACCTGCAGCATATACGGAAGATAAGAATAGTTTAGAAAAAAGTTCAAAATTTAATGAACCAGATACTACTACGGTCATTCGACGATCTCATGTGCGCGTTGATCTTCAAGCTGCTGGTTTGGGACAACGGCCGCCATCCGTTGTTAGCTCAGATCAAGAATATCCATCTCTAGAACATAAAGATATACCAATACCTTCGCCATATGTAAAGAAAATGCAACAAAATCAAGAGATTTCTATCCAAAACAATGAAGTTAAGCCACAAGTAAAAACAAACATAGAAGAAAATACTTTAATAAAAACTGATTCAACAAAAATTTGCCATAACAAAATATCTCAAGATAATAATCAAGAACATGTACGAATAAATTCAGTAATTACAGGAGGAAATCAAAATATAGTTTTAGATAATAAGTCAAAATCAAATATTACCAATGAAAGGCATACATTTCCTGAAACAGTATGTCAGAAAATAGTATCTAATGCCAAAAATGATCAAATTAAAATTTCTGTACGAGAAAAATTAGCAAAAAATAAAGAAGAAGTATCTGGAAAACGTTCAAGTTTTGTCGAAGTGGATAATAAAGTAGATCAAGTAGAGAAAACCATTTTAAACACAAATCAATGCTCAATGGTTCCAAGTATACACACTATGGATAATTCGTCAGACAAATTGATTAACAAAGAAATAGAACCAAGTGATACTGCACAGTCAGAAAATACGTCCAAACTTATGTCAAAAACAAATAATAAAAAGGAATTTATAACATTAGCAGGAGATGCAGTATCATCATCTAAATCCAGTTCTCAAACAATAAGTAATATTCTAAATAAAAGCATAGAGGAATTAAATCAACCACAAACAACGTGGGAACAAGAAAAACAAAAAGCTGAACTAGCAAAGTTGAGGTTGCAGGAAAATACTTCTACAACTACAATTCAACAAATTAATGTACCTCAAAATATATCACCTGCTATTGTAACCCAACAACATATAGAAAAGAAACAACTAAATGAACATATTGTATCTGAAAGTATTCACGATGATAGTGATTCCAGTGATACTAAAACTATTACAAATCTAGAGCATGCACCAACAATGGAGATGAAAAATGCCATGGAACAGAATGATTCTAAGACTGTTGCAGAAAATATTTCTAAAGCTATTACAAATCAAATTTCTGTAACACCAGATACTATGACAGCTGATGAAGCAGAAAACCTATTAAGTTCTCGGTAAGTTATTTGAATAAATAATTTTCATCATGATAGACATATAATAAATTCTTATAACTACACAAAGAATTGTATATAATAATGAGTGTATTTAAAACTATATGATGCACTAAAATTTTAATATAGATTTCTTTTAAATACATTACTGTATTTTATCAGTATGATAATTCTAGTTACATAGCAAATAATTTCATAGCAACTTGCAAACAGCTTAATAATTTTTATTTTTTTACTTTGAATTCTAATATTTTTTTTTATTCATGTTTATTTAAATGTGACTCCAAACAAACTTATAATGTACTGGGACAAAACACAGCATCTTAGAGAAAAAGATAAGGTGAGTTAATTGTTACTGTCTGGTTAAATGTTTAGTTCATTGATCATGATATTAAATTGTAAAAAAAAAAGCATCGTGAATCATATGAATAATCAATTAGACAAGGATCAGCTTTATTGTCGGATGAAGAAGCTCAAGAAATAGCAAGATTATTATCACCAATTACACATGCTGAAGTTGTAAGTGAAGAAAATTCTATTGATAAAAATAGAGAAATGGACAAAGAGAGGGAAAGGGATGATCAAGATAATACACCAGATTGGCTTTCTGATGTCTTGTCTGCTCCTGATACCAGTCTTATTAATAGCACCACTAATGATTATAGGTGAATCAGTTTGGTCTTTTATGTTTTTTATGTTCTATAAAACTATTTTGCAGCTAATGCTATCTATTGATTTTAGTTATTTTTATTAATAGCACATGCAGTGACATGATGTACCATAATCTTGTAATACTTTTTTATTAAAAAATACTAAAGTTTTATACAAAATTTTTAGTTTGTCCCATAGATCACGTAGCGATTTAACAATAGATTCATTGACGGAAAGTCAAGTGGGTTCTGTAACAGGTAGTGAAAGTGGTTTACTTGGATCCGTTAATAGCTTGAATGATACTTATGAAATTAACGATGATACAGAAACAGAACATCAAGATGAATATGTTCCACCGACGCCCGGCAAAGTTGTAAGATCTTAAATATATTTATTAAATACAATTTTAGAATAAAGCATAATTAAAAATTATAATGTTTATTTAGGTACTTGTGGAAAATGGTGTACATTATTTTGAGGATGGTCATTTTTGGATGGAAGTTGCAGGAATACCAGAATCGGATGACGAGAAAGATGATTATCCAACAAATGTACCCGTTAAAAGAATGTCTAAAGTTTCATTTGATACAAGGCCAATGAGAGTTTATTCAACACATTCAGTAAATGAATATGATCGACGAAATGAAGATGTGGATCCTGTTGCCGCCAGTGCAGAATATGAACTTGAGAAACGAGTTGAAAAAATGGAGGTAATTCCATTTAAAATCAATATTAAATACACATTTTATCATGTAATATAAATAAAAAATTTATTAGGTATTTCCAGTGGAACTTATGAAAGGTCCAGAAGGTCTTGGTTTAAGCATTATTGGAATGGGTGTCGGGGCGGATGCAGGACTAGAAAAATTAGGTATATTTGTCAAAACAATCACAGAAAAAGGCGCAGCTGCACGAGAAGGCAGGATACAAGTAAACGATCAAATCGTTGAAGTAGACGGAAAATCTCTAGTTGGTGTGACACAAGCATATGCAGCTAGTGTTCTTCGTAATACTTCAGGTCTCGTGCGTTTTGTAATTGGCCGAGAACGTGATCCGAATTCGGAAGTAGCTATGTTAATTCGACAAAGCCTTCAAGCAGATAAAGAAAGAGAACAACAAGCTAACTCTGCTAGGTATCAATCAATAAATATTCTCATATATAGAGTCAATAAATTCATATGTATATTCTTTAAAAAAGATTTCCCAATGATGGTTTATCCTTGCTCGCTAATATCTATGACGAAAATTCACGGCCACTTCAATGATGGCTCGAAGTCTCTTGAAGCGCTGAGGGAAATCAATTTTTTTTTAAATTAAAATCTTAATAAAACTATTTAAGAAGTTTTAAAATAAGCATATTTCTACAGAAAACTTAATTTTTCGGATGCTTCACCTGATAGTCAACGAGGCGGTGAAGATATTTCTGTCGGAGGAATGGGAGGAATACCAGGTTCTCCAGCTATGTCATCATGTTCAGAAGGAGAACCTCCTCAAAGTCCTATAGAAAATTATTTATCTACTTCCGGTCGAAGTAGATCTCCTATCATTAGTTCATCAATGCCACCGCATACATCTGCTACAACACAAAACGATGTTGATAGTTTAAGACTGCTTTTACAAGAGGTATTATACTTTTATTAATAGGAAAAAAAGTATGCAATATAAAATACGTAATTTGCATAATTTTATGTATGTGTAATAATTTAATTTAAATACAACAACTTTCATCTATAACTATTTCTCTTATAAGTACATATATGTAGTCAATGAGAAATATATACTATGGTCTCATTGCTTGTGAAAGATAGTTTAAATTAGAAATTTCATGATTTTATATTGAAATATATTTTGTATTATTTTATTATTGCACAAAATATTCAATTTTGTGTTCATTTTTATTAATTTCGTATAAAACATTGTATACTATATATATAAATTCATATAAAGATATGCATTATCTATTGTGTGTGTGTATATATATATATATATATGTTGTTTATATTGCTATTTTATATACACCATAAGCACTTCCTCATAGCTCTTATAAGCGTGAATATATTTTAGTGTTGCTTATGCACTGTGTTCGTTGTTCACTGCTTGCAGAGTCAGTATAAACTAGCATTAGCAGATGGAGAGGTGGAAAAACTCAAAGCTAAGGTAATAGCATAAGATAAAGAATTTCATTTTATTTTTGTATGTTGATGCATTTTGCTTATATGTCACGTGCTTATATTTATGAATTTGTGTGCAGCTTAGTGCATATTTTTAATTCCTTAGATTTTTATCATTTCATACAGTTTTCATGTTCTAATTTGCTATTATAAATAATATAAAGGTTCGTTGAAGATATATTAACCTATATCTTAAATATATGTTAGATATGTGTTTTGTATATGTTGTTTATAATAAAATTGATTCAAAATTTTTTATTTACAGCTTGTAGACTTAGAAAACAGTGGAGCTGGTAGCGAAGAATATGCAGCAAAATTGCGTGAATCCGGTTTACGGCTACATGAATCTGAAAGAGCTTTGGGTACTGCTAGACAGGATCTAGTAGCGGCACGGGAAATGCTTTCTCAAGCAACAGCACAAAATGCTGCTTTACAACAAAAATATGCTCGAGCCAGAAGAGCAGCTCGTGAATTACGTACAGATATTGCTGCTAGAGACGAATTTTATCAACAATTACTACAAGAGAAAGATACGGAATATAATGCTCTCGTTAAAAGTTTGAAAGATAGGGTATGTTATCAATTATCATTAAAAAATAAGGACAATCTAAAATAAAAAATTAATTATAAACAATTATAGGTAATTACATTGGAGGTAGAATTAACAGAAACACAAAGGAGGTTCGGGTTACCAGTAAGATTGCCTTATGATGGAACTACAGCTAGAATTGTTACGCCACAATTATCACGTCGTCAATTACCCCCACCACCCTCGTCAACTAGTTGTCAGCTTTCTGATACTGAAACATCAGACCTGAGTAGTCCTGATGATGGTGATAAAACAGCGACGGTCGAAAGAAAGTTACCGCTTCCATTGCCAGTCAAAGAAGAATTAGATCGAGCAGTACCTGCTCATCGGCTTCTTGATAATTCTGCTGGAAAAAGTAAAGCTGAACTTGCCAGTAGAGGGGGTCTTGCAAATCGACAACTTCCTAAACGTTCTGGTGGCCTTAGCAACAGCAGTTCTGTACGTACATAATCAATGTTACTAAATTTGGAAAATCAATAATTTATTTTAATCATTTTATATTGCAGGATTATGGTTTAGATGAATCAGGTGACAATACTGATGAAGATTCATCTTCTAAATTACTTTCTCAAGACACAAGCAGCAGATCGCCAAATGATTTAACATCAAAACAATCAAATTTGAGTTCCTATTCCAGCAGTTCTTCAATTAGTTCATTGAAAAGCAAACATATGGAACCTACACATCCGACAACAATTCGACAACATAGTACTATTAGTTCACAAGTTAGAGCTATGACGGAACAAAGTTGGCCACAATCTCAAAAAAGTATTTTTCTGTTATTCTTTATATATAATATTTATAAAACTATATAAAATTTTATACAAAATTTTTATCGATTCTTTGTAGATCTAACTGGACCACCAGCATCATTTGCAGAACAGTTAAAACAAGTTTTAGCGGAAAGAGAAAGACGACTTGGTGGAAATGATATGTCTTCGTCAAGAGAAAGTTCTGGGGATTTTAGTGACTTAAATAATCTACATTCTAGCGATCCAACTTTAGTCACTCATCATTTAGTGGAAGAAATACGACAAGCTGTAAATGAAGCTAATCAAAGAGGTAATATATCTTATAACATTTCTAATATATAAATTATAGAAAGTAATTTCTTTTTTTATAATGAGTTTATTTATCTACAGTAAAAAAGGCCACTATTCCTTCATCAAATTTAGTTGGTTCCACACCTTGGCATCATCCAGGTAGTTCACCTTCTAGTCTATCTTCTGGTGGATCAGTGAGCCCACCTGCTGTTGATCCTAGTCCGTCTAAAACAGGTATTTTTAATATTCGCAGCACAATGCAAGCAGTGATTGATTTTTATTCCTTTTTTTATTTTTTTAAATTTATTTTTTTCACACATTTTGTTTTTTATAATTCAACCCGTTCCGTATGTAAACAATATTATGAATCTAGATACGAGTGAAGTTTGGTTGCCTCCTCATCCAAGCGACTTTGGTTTAGGTGACAAGAAGTCCCATTTCTGGCAGAATGCACCAGTTACTGATTGGTCCAAAGAACAAGTAAGTATATATTTATTTAAAGAAATACGTTTATATAGATTTCTTATAAAATATTGTATTTGTAACTTGAAAAATGGTATTAGGTTTGTCAGTGGTTATCAGGCATTGGTTTGGAACGATATGCATCACGCTTTTTGGACACTGGAATTAATGGTGGGAATCTTTTACGACTTGAGTCTCGTGACCTGAAAGCTTTTGGTATTTGTGGAGATGAGAAATCCCACTTGAAACGTAAATTAAAAGAACTTAGAGCACAGGCAGATCGAGAACGCAAAGAGAGGAAGGAAATAGAACGAATGCGGCGAAAAGCGGAAAAAGCTGCACGAAAAAAATAGTTTGTGCGTACATTAATGTACTTATGTCCTCTATAAAATGCAATAACTTTGCACAAAAAATTCGCGACATATTCAAATTTTGTGTACGATATTCCAGTGATGTTTGTAATTTTTAACTTCTTCCGTCTGTATTTAATTCTCTGGTACATATAAACAGTTATACACATAGTATACTACATTTATTCTTAAATGTTCTTAATCGGATATCTCACTATCCGACATTTTTAAATTTGATTATTTATACTTATAAATTTTTTAACTTCAAATTTTTGCATTTATTTATGATTTTTCTATTCTTGTTGCTTCACATTTATATTGTTCTTGTAGTATTTGTGCTAGTTACTATTTATACAATAATAATGAATATAATTCAAGGAAGAGAACGTGTATGAATGTAAAAGCATGTCTATGCCAGATGTATGCATGTGATATGTATGTAAAATTCAAGCCATTTAGGTATTAAGCCAAATTGTAATAAAACTTTGATTAGCTAATATTTTATTTTTACAATTGTAAGTATACTTTTGTAGAAAAGCATAAGTTTCAAGTTATTAATGTATCGTTTCTGTATTTATTTTTATTATCAACTATGCAACAATTTTTCATAATGAATAATATAAATACTGGTAAAAAAATAGAGCCCTAGAGTGTACTATTGTTAGAAGAAAAGTGATTGTCCTTTATTATATGTATATCATGAAATATCAACGAATTTGTAATTATCAATACAGTATATATTAATGTGTTAAATTCCAATGATCGAATTATAAAATAATTTCATTTATCTATATTTATTATGACTAAAGTATCAGTTTACATAATTAGAAAATTATTGCTTTTTTAAATCAAAGTCGAAAGTATCAAACAATTTTTATCATGCTATCGTATAGATATTTGTATTAAAATTTTTTTTCTTTAAAAGTTATAACGACATTTGTATTATTATATTTAATCTGCGAATTATGCATTAAAAATCCGCACAACGTCTATTTTATTGCGATAGAAATTTTTAAATTATGTAATGAATTTGTTTAGCGTTTTATATACTTCGAACATTCCATATATACGATACTTTATAATTTTATCTTTATTATATAACATATATAAATGAAAAGAAATCATAGAAATACTTTAGGTGACGTCCCTGTATGTATGAATATTGTATGGATACATTACGTATTAAGTAATATATGTTAATACTTAAATTTGTATCCTAACGAAAGTTCATTATAAATGTTTATTCAAATAATTACGGGACTCATTTGAGTACAGTATAGACGAACGAACTTTATTGTACGCATACTTATTTATGATAACATTAAGTTTTATACAGTGTTAAGTACTTTGTTCTACCTTTATACCATTCTCAAAGTACAATGTTTTTCTCTCGAAAAAAAATAATTTCTTTTACATAGAACAATTAAACAAACAAAGTATTTAACATTGATACATATATTGTACATATGCAATGAACGATCACTAATACTGTAATCTACAAAAAATGATTATGATGTAAGGCGTGCAAGAGGCATAACTGTAGTGTCATAATATCTTTATAGAAAATAGTTTTTAATTTCCTAACTTAAACGTTTATCAAAGGTCCTCCATTTTCTAATGATGTATCACAATATTTCAAAAGCACTTATTGTTACTTTCGTCGTTATGTACAACGAACTGTGGGAACTCATCAAAAATATCAACACATTCTTGCGTCTCAGGGTAACCATTAATATGTTTTGAGATATAAGTGTGTTCAATGAATTAAAAATTTTCATGAATTAGAAAACGTCCTGCAATTCGTTTTTAAATAACTATTGTGATTTCGTAGGAGCAGATCTTTTATAAAAACTGACTGATTTACAATAAGTTTTTATAGTTAATTTTCGAACAATGGCTTAGATATGATGATATAATGCCATTTGTCAAAAAATAATTATAGAACCAAAACTTGTACTCCTCCATAAAACTACATAATATCTGAGTGTTTTCATACATTTTCAATGATTTTAAAGTGTTGCTCACAAAGAGGAAATTATAGTTCCATGGATAAAGACACAGAGAATACATACATGGCAGCTTTTTAATAATGTCTATAAAAAGTATTGTCAACAAATACTCCTAAACATTTTAATTAAAAATAATTCATATTATACATTCGTAGTTTGTTCTTTTTACCTGATAAATAAAGTATTGAAAATATATTCAATATTTGTAATATATATCATGTATGTACTTATTGTTAGAATGAAATTTTTTATGTACTGTAATGAATCGTAAATATAGAAACAATCTTACATATTGGTATATTTTTTCACGCTTATTGTTAGAACGTATTCAAATAAAGCGCCATATATCGAAAAATGTTTGATCGATAATCTGCATCATTTTGACAGGAAGAATTATACAATAGAAAATTGTATTGAGCAAGAAAATGCCAGCTATAATTATTAAAGATTTTTCTTGGCGTCAAACTTCAGAATTTGTTATATTAAACGTACCTTTGAAAGGCCATCCAAAAAAGGTTGACTTATTCGTAATAGATAATTATGTAAAGGTAAAAATTTTAACTTTTAATAACCAAAATTTATATATCAATCAAATATGAACACGATACCTATAATGTGATATTTAATTCAATAATAGATCAGTTTTCCACCATTCATATTAGAATTATTTCTTTGGGCTAATATTATTGAAAAAGAAAGTAAATGTATTTTGACAGAACAAGAAGCAATAATTACTTTATGTAAAGCAAACATCAGTTTGGAATGGCCTATTCTTGAAGTACAAGATATTAATAATGATTTTAAACAAGATTACCGTGCTCAAGCTTTAGAACATGCTCAAAAACTTGCCAAAGAAAAAATCAAACTTAAGAGTGGTATATAAAGAATTCTATATATAATATTACAATATTACATAATTACATAATTGTATATATAATATTACAAACTTTTCAATGATTCATAATTTGCTTTAGAAAAACGACAACATTTGCAAAAAGAAGCGGTGAAAGAACAACTCAGTGTCAATACAGCTACATTAAATAAAATAGATGCGATACGTGATGCACAGCGGAAAGAAGCAATGCAAGAATTTGAAGACTGGAGATTAAAAACTGAAGTACCATTATTTTCTAACGTTGAAGGGGAAATACAAGAAAATAGAAAAGCTTACAAGTTAGGATTTGAACAAATACCTTTTTTTTTTAAATAATTTTTTTTAATATAATTAATAATTCTTTTTTATATCATTTTTACAAGACCACCGTTAAAATGGTTTAAAGATGATGATAATAGATTAAAATCTCGACTAATGACCGAAAAAGAAATATTTAATAATAACGGCACCATAAAAAAATTTAAATCCAAAGCAATCGATAAAGGAACAGTTATAGAAGTACAATCAGTAAATACAAATCAAAAGAGTAATCTTCAAATAAAAATATCAGAGAAGAAAGATGACTTCATTAACAAAAATGATGCCAGTTGTTCTGAAGATTCTGATTCCGACTCTAATGTAGAGAAAGCGATAAATAAAAAAAAATTAGATATGGTTTATGAGAAAGAACAAAAAAGAAGACCAGGATTGGAAGCTGTAAAAGTTGCGATACAGGGCAATATTTTGAAAAGAAATAACATATTTGAAGAACCTTCGAAGTCAGTACCGTTACCGAGAAAAACGGGTACAATTAACATTACATTTTCGGAACGGAAATTCCCAACGCCGGCTAGGGAAAGCTCTCACGTGGAAGAACAAGAAGTATTATTTTTCTATATTTCTAATTATTAAAATTGATCTAAAAAAAAAGGTCGTATTAATATTTATTGAATTACAGTGGCTGCAAAAGCAAGCGGAAGCAAGACGTAAAATTGGTTTTGACGCGGAAGACCTACGATCAGAGGAACGAGATCCGCAATGGTTAAAAGATAAAGGAGAGTGCGTTTAATCCATTTTCGTATTAATCGAATGTCAATAAATTATAAACTAATACATTTTTTGCGATTGTTTTTTAGTGATTTTTTCAAAGTTGGAAATTATCTGGCAGCTATAAGCGCTTATACATATGGCATTAAAATTAGTGATAAAATGTCATCCCTGTATGTAAATAGATCAGCAGCACATTATGCATTGGGGAATTATTATAGATGTGTAGAAGACTGTTCTAAAGTAAGTTATTAAAATTGTAATTTATTAAAAATAAGATTTATTTTATCTTTCAGGCACTAGAACTAATGGAACCGAAATGCGAAAGCAATCGAGAGTCAAGGGCTAGGTGTCATGCTCGACGAGGCGCAGCTTTTTGTAAATTATCCGCGCCTCAGCATGGTATTCCTGAACTACAAGTTGCCCTAGAATTAACACCGAACAATGAAAGTATAAAACATGACGTATTAGCTGCAAAACAATATTTTAACATCAAAGATTAACAAGTAAGTAGGTAAACTAATTGTTCGGCTAATTGAAAGAACTCATGGAACGCTATTTCTTCGTGTTATTTTTTTAAATAAAGCATCAGATATAAAAACAGAAAGTATTTGAAAAGGAATTAAACGTAAAATATGTTTTCCAAAAACGTTTATTAATATGTTATTTAAAAAAAAACATATGTAATACTTATAAAAATATCACAGTCAAAAATCCTGAAGAGTGATTAAATCAAGGAACTTATCTTACACTAAAACTAAACGCGAGATTATAAATATATTTTGATATATTTCAATTTTTTAACACGTAAATATTTGACAAAAAATTTCAGTAGAGCCAGTCAATTGAACTTTATAATTCTTTTATCGACACACCCACATTTTGTGTGTTCCAAAGCATGTATCACTTCGTGATGCCTGTCACGTTGTCGGTCAATCATGTGTTTCACCATAAAAACAAGACTGACGTTCCTGGTTTCGATAGGTGCACAAATCTGTTTCGGATCCGAACAACATCCGGCTCCTTCACAACGTGTCAGGACGGTAGAGGCGGGATAAAAAATTTCATCTGAACTAGGACCGATAGTTAGAAGTTCTGCCACTGGCACAGCTCTTGGTTGTGGCATAGAACACTGAAATTCATGCACTAATTGTACATGATTCAGAAATCCATTATCTCTGAAAATCGAGTACATTATTCTAATCGATCTGTCAAAGTCACGTGATCAATATACACTTTGAATTTATACATGTATGTAAGTATGTATAATATAATTTACCTGTGATGTCTACCAATAGTAGCAAGAGCAAGGTGAATAGAAATCAACAGTAAGATGTATCTTCTCATATTTTCAATTCTTTTTTTTAGTATTAAATGATATTTTGACGAATAGATTGATTTGAAAATCAACACACGTTCCGATAGATCACTAGCAATTGTCCGGGATCGAGAACTGCGAACACTCTTCTGCGATCTGAATTCTTTCTCTCGCTATATATACATGTAACTTTCATCCTCGGCCCGGTGCCCTCTGCCTCCCCTCTTTTACCGATTTCTCATCATCTTTCTTCGTTGATCTACCTTTGGCCGTATTGTTTTCTCTCGTCCTATGGCGATTCGCACCGTCTCCCTCTCATTTCTCGGTAAACTTGAGGAGGACTTGAAGCAAAGCGTTCCGAGAACATCGTGAAGATAACTATAATTACAACTAGTGGGTCCTGCCTCCCGTTCGAACTGAGACCATGTTACGTCGCGTGACTAGTCATTCTTTCTCTCATTTTCTCCTTTCTTTTTGTACTTTGAATCTGACAAATTTCGGCCAGTCATCGGTCAAATTATTATGTACCCTCTGATTTTCTCTTTCGTGTACCGGTTGCATCTCAAACACTATTTTTTCGTGCATCGATGCATCTTGCTCGAATTTCTTTACTCTCGAATAATTTTTATAAAAGTATCAATGGCTTTATTTTTATTGACATATCACATTCAAAAATATAAATTACTCAATTAAAAAGAATATTTAAATCTAATTGTTAATTGTAATATTTTTATTTATATTGGAAAATATTAATATGTTTAATTTTTATTCAGAAAAACGAAATTAAATATCAAAACGATCAAATATCTATGTAATTAAATTGGAATTATTTAATGCAACCACATGGCATGAAATACGTTGACCCTCTCTGCGCAATGTTATGCGTTCTATGATGCGGCAGGTTGCAGTGAGTCATTGAAACTGTCTGCGAGGTGTCTGATTGCAAAACTTATTCATAACATCCTTTTCATTTTTGCGAACTCTGTAAACAGCAAAAGGTAACTTTTTATGTTACTAATTGTCAAACTACCGATACATCTGCTCGTGAAAAAGTTTCTATATGAAAGGTGAGAGTAGTTATCGGTTGCCCAAATCGAAATTCATGTTACAAGAATATTCGTTAACAGCTATTTATGGAACTGACTCAATGATATGCGAAGTTACGAATCTATGAACTGTTATATAGGTGTACCTCGTATATAGGTGTATTGATTAATAGTAATCTTGAGAACAATCATTCTATAGCTATTAGATTTCAGAAGATTGTGTAATCAAAATTTTTTAGTTAATTATTTTAATATCATTTAAAAATTATTGATTAGTGAATTACGTGAGTTCTAGCACGTACCATTCATTATATACTTTTTCATTATTAATTGTTCTACTTATATATTTAAGAAGGATGACAAATGAGAAGCCATTTTAAAAATTAAATAGAGGCTTCTATTTATTATTAGAAGCTTTTAATTAAATATGAATAAGCATTTTCTGGAAATGGAGTAATATTAACCATAATTGGGCAAAACCAGAAATACAAATGATCGACTATTGCGCTATGAGGGATATTCCCGTTACGTCAAATGAATGCGTAAAATTGCACGCATATTTTTACTATTAATCACATCCCTTATAACAAGAATTATAATATAGTAAATATATTAATATCTCTTAAGAAAGATATTCTTTCTGTGTCAAAAAATGGATTAACGGAAATTAATAAAACATATAATTAATAATATTCATTTATAATAAATAAATAAAATGAATATAAGACAAAAATCTAAGACAAAATTAAATGTATGGCAAACTGCCAAAAGAAGATACAAACAAATTTCTACTATTTTGCATGTAACTATTACTGAATCTGAAGTATTATTTAACCAATGATTCATGTGAGCCCACGAGCTTTAAGATTAAAGTAAATTTTATTTTTGGCCTCTTTTTTATTTTGTTTATTTTTTGTATTAATCTGTATTATCGTGTCATATATTGATCTGATAATTATTATATAATATAATAAATTATAAAATAATCATGTCATTTCGATAACTTTTGCGAGAACGAATAAGTTCTTAAGCAAGAGTTATATATTTATATACATGATCTTGCGTAGAAAACATGAAAACACTTTCTCATTTAATATATCCTCGTTGTAGTTAACATAATTGTATCTTTATAAAATATATATAAAGAAGAAATAAATTTTCATTAGGAATACATTTACTGAATCAACTAAGACGGAACGCGTTGCATGTATATGATAATTAGTCGAAAATAAGTAGTGTTTTTTTATTGAAGGTAATTTCAATATCTTCATCGTTTTATTAAAATTTAAATATGAAATTTATTTCAATTATCTGCGTCTTGTTATTTTTTTAAACAAGAAATGAAAATCAATATCAATATAGAATTTAAAAAAAATATTCAAAGCCCAAAATACATTTTATAAATTTGAAAAAATTTTAAAGAAAAGCTTTGAGTGCATCGCTCCTTTAACAATTTAAAATCATATTTCAAAGTGATCTTTACGAGAAAATGACTTTACTTCAGTTTCTCTTTTGCAATAAATTCAATCGTAAAACATCACTCAGAATTGTAAGTTGGCCTTTTTTTTTTAATGTATAAACTAAAGATTTTTTATGAAATAACAGGGAAGACATGTAACATAACGGGATTACTCCGGGATTACTAACGGGATTACTAAATAAAAAATATTTATTGAACTCGATTTTCAATGAGTCAATTTTACTCATGAAACTTTTGTAAATTTCAATAGAAAAATTTGATCTCCATAAGTGATATGATCTTAATTACATCATTGATTATCTATTCAATTGTGGACAGTATCGTGTGCATTTATTTGTCTGATAAAAATTTATTGAATATGTAGATAAAAAGTTTCATATGTGTGTGTAGATCGCTGAAGGAACATATCACTAAAAGAAAAGTCGAAGTTCGACTTTGATATAAGCCTGTACATCCTCTTATCAGAAAGTCTTATAGTTGATCGCATTAACAAATATATTGAGAGTGGAAAATAAGAGTTCAGTATGTGAATTTATGTTTGAACAATATGTGTAGTTGAAGAATATTCATAAAATGACTTATTATACTTGATTATCACTATTATTATACTTATGTATTTAGAATTTAATTTAAAATTTCGATATCAGCTTCGAATCACGATCAAGGATGGAATCGATGGGGCATAAGGAAGAAACAGTTCCCACGCACCAGGATATTTTGAGTTGAAGAAATGCATGAGTAAATGTCACCGCAGAATTTCAGGATATCGGATTTTATATGTGCATGAATCTGTATCGATGCGTGTCTATCTTGCGTGAAGTATGTGTGCAAGCTCTTCTACGTATAAATATACTTCTGGCAGCAGGAAAGTCGCAGTTGGACGCTTCTTGATACGACTACATGTTGGTGGTTCGTGTAATTTTGTTGAAGAAGACACATCTCGGACGTGTTCATCAAATATCGCGCCATAAGATTTGAATTTATGAACGTGATCTTCGGCGAGTTTAATTTTACACTGTGTGTGTAAAAATAATTCTACTAATACAATATAGATTATTGAATAAGAATCACAGAATAAATTAACAGAAACGAGGCATGAGAAATAGATTATTGAGGACTTTCCTATTGAATTTGATGATACTCGTCCCGTTGATACTGGACAACATGGTTCGATCAGCGGCAGTAAATAATAGTAGGATTTCATTATCTGAAGCAGTGAAAGCGTCCAACATGTTTGTTTGCAAAAAACCACAATCTCGAGCGTATAATCTGAAAGACTTGATGCAAAACGTGCATCAGAATTCTGGAGAGAGTACCATTCAACCCGTTTATATTATCGTGAAGCGATGCGATGGACACTCCGGATGCTGCACGAATCCAGATATGAGTTGTTTACCTGTAAAATCAGCGATTTATTACGAGGAGATTGAAATTGAGATCTGGAGCTTCGAAACTAGTAACAGAAGACAATGGATTAGTGTGGAACAACATGGTCAATGTTCCTGTAAAATTACCAGGATCATGGATCGCTACCAATTAGAACATCAACAGCCTAACATAACGCTAATTTCAAATTAGCTATTTAGCGTCCAGGATGATTAAAACGATACGTATGCCTTTTGCATAACTAATTATAAATATAACACAGACAGTATTGATTTATAGAAAATATTAAGACTGTTGATGAATCGAAATAATTAAGAATGTTCAAGTTGTTATTTCTCTTGGCTGGTACCGGTTTAGTTCGAAAACATTTAGTGTAAGTGTGTTCAATGCTATGCGCAAAGAAAATTGGCACTAAGCCTAACAACGTGTTTATTGTCTCTTTAACATCAAATCATCACAAAATTGCTGGTGAACACCTATTTTATAACATTATTATTTCTGATGCACAACGAATTTATACAAATTCTCAGAAAATGAGGATTTTCTCAAAAACATTAGACTTGGACGGTTTTCATGACTTGAAAGACAAAATTTTTTGTTAAAAAAAGAAAAAAATCGAATAGTGTTATAAAGTTATAATTAATTTCATTGAAAAGTTCATTCAGATGATTACACATAACTAGAGAAAATTATACTATAACTACAACTAGTCATATTTCGTACGTGATTATAGTTATATTAAACAGAAATAAAGGGGGCCAAAATGTATTATTATTTTAGAAACTACTATAACTCTTTTAGAAAAAGAGTTTAATATTCATCATTGTGATATTGTCTTATTTATACAATCGAAATTATAGTATTGGTAGACTTCATTTTAATTGTATTGAAAAATGTGTAAAACTGATATTTATTAATTAATTATAATAACTTCAGTATTCATATGTACTTGTTATATTTTTTTAATTAGTTCCTTATGTGTAATTTTTTGTAAATTCTTTTTAAATAATATAAAGTACTCGAATACTAAAGAAGTATTAATTAATAATAATTAATAATACTACTGCAAAATATTGCTAAAGAGACTGATGTATAAAATATATTACGCATTATGTATGGAACGTAATAAGTATCTTTATTTATTCTAATAGTAAATTTCGTAGTATGTTAATTATACTTAAAATTATATTTAATGCTATTATTATTTTATGCTATTTATTAATGATTGGAAATTGAAACATACAACATATATGTTTCCAATGCTTATTTATAGATCTGTTGAAAAAGATGGTAGAATTTAAGCTTATAAAATATAAAAAAGGCAATGCACTTACATAAATACATTTTGTCAAACATTTGTAACAGAGCTTTTACGATGATCATTGCATAATTTATGAAATTCAGTGATAATATGTCTTGTACAAAATGTTTTATATAAATATGTTTACTATATAAATCACATATACACTATATGAAATTTGAATAATAATTGTATAAAAATCAGTTTTAAAATAATGTAAATAAAACAACTTAAATGTTATTTAATTTCAACTTAACTTTTTAGCATTAATAAAATCTTGATAAAAGAAATGTTATCTTTGATTTTAAAAATTTAAAAAAACGACATTAAATTTTTAATTTCATATAGTTTTCATTTGAAAAGATAAATGTACACTGCCATAAGATATATCATAGTTTTATCTAAGTTTAGGTATAACAAATATTTCATTGATAAATGTATCTGTACAACAAAATTATTATTTGATGTCAAATAAAAATATTTTTGTTTTGAAAGTCAATATATTAATGGTCAACATATTCTTACACCATTCGTGTAAGGATAGCAGCAATGTGCAATTTTTCTCACGATTTTGTATACAAAACTATTTTAAAATCGCGCATATGCATATTTAGATCGCATTCGTCGTCCTCTTGTTCCACGTCCTCTTCCTGTTTCATTATTTGCTCCTCTTGTTGTGTGTCCTCCGCGTATTACGCTTTGTCCTTTAAAGCAAATTTTTATATTAAGAGAATATACTTTTATTTCATAATTTATAATTTATAATTGCACTTACCTCTGCCACCAGATTGACTTTCCCATACAATAGGTGTAGGTCGAGTACCACGTGTTCTAAATCGATCTTGCGATCTTGCTGAACGCCGTGCTGTAGCTCCTCTAGCACCATTTGCTGCAGCTGCAGCATTAGCTGCTGCCGCCATTGCTCTTTGACGAGTATTACTGGATGGAGAAGCTTCTGCTTCACGACTTTCTTCTACTTCATCTTCCACTATATCACTTCCTGGTTCTTCAGTGCCTTCGCCAGTATCTACTGCGTCATCATCCCCGGAGATTAAAGGACCAGCTTCCTCTGTGCGTTTCTCACCCTCTGAACTTATGCCTATGTATAATTCCATATGAAATTATTTAAATCTATTACTAATATTAATATAGTTTATAAGTACCTTCAGTCGGTGTTGTGCTAATAGATTCTGTAATTATTTCAGTTTGATTATGCTGTTGATCATCAACACCAAGCACACGAATACTTGGAATTGTAGGCTCCTCACTAGCATCAGCAACAGTAGTACCTGTCACTGACATCGGTGTTACTGAAACTGGAGTTTCCTGTTCTTCCGAAGGTCCACTGCTTGTCTTAAATATATCATTTAATTACATAACAAAATGAAGTGCTCTGAATATTATATAAAAATATTTAATTATTTTTATACCGAAGGAGGTAAATCAGCTGCTGGTGAAACTTGTAAAGGAGTAGTAGGTACACTACGACCAGTACCACCATCTTCTAACTGAGTAAGATCCATTCGTGTATCATCCATGCTTTCTTGAATGACTTGAGCTACACCGGAACTAGATGATCCAAATATTGTTCGAGTTGCTGAACCAGAAGGAGTTGATAACGAAGGAGTTGACGATGCTGTTGTTGGTGTAGACGAATCTCCAAAAGTAAAACGACCTTGAGGAACTTGAGGTGAACTCACAGCTTCTCCAAATCCATCTCCTCGACGTGGTACGAATAAAGTTGGCGTGCTCGGTACTATGCTATCATCACCGCCATCTTCATATCCTTGTTGCGGCTAAAATTTATTTAATTAGAAAGATACTTTACTTTTCTTTTTATTTGTCCATATAAAAATAAAAATATACCAAAAGAAGATGTTGTTGTTGTTGTTGCCTAGGCATTGGCGCAATTCCACGTGAAGATCGGGCTCCAAAAGATGTAGGTGGTTCTCCCGTTGGTTCAGCACTACTAATTGCTTCTGATTGCTGTTGCTGTTGATTCGTAGGTACTGTTACCTGTGCTTGTCTAGGTACCTCTACACTTGTAGAATCTTCTCCCATTATAATTTCAACTTCATTATTATCTCTTTCCACTTCTACTTCCACTTCATAAGGTATCTCTTCTTCTTCTTCCATTTCTTCATATGGATCATTGTCAAATTCTTCTTCCTCCTGAGTTTGATGATTACCGCCTCCTTCGCCTTCGTCACAATCTACAACAACAACACATCCTTCTTCTACTTCCTCGTCTTGATCCCGCTGGCTCGATGTTGGTACCTGAAAATTAAACGAGTACATCATTTTAAATATATAATTATCATTTAATACATTTAATACTTTCATTATTTAAATTCACCTGGTACTCGACCTCTGAAGCGCTTGCACTAGCAGTAGATGACATTTCTTGTCTGGATCGTTTAGCTTTGGGACTAAGCACTTGTTCTTGTCTACTGTGATCTACACCTTCAACAATTCCAGATCCTGATGCTGTCGAATCAAGAGCTCTAGAACGTTTATGCCCTGTCGAAGCTTGTGATGTGCTCACTGACTGAGTAGAACTACTGGCAACAGTTTGTTGTTGATCACTGACAGCAATCTGTTGCTGCTGCTGTTGTTGTTCTACTCTTGGACTAACTAGTGCAACAGTTTGCTGCTGCTGCTGCTGCTGTTGTTGTTGTTGTTGACATTGCTGTTGTTGTGCACTAAGTGTTTCTGCACTTTCTGGATCTTCTCTTTGCGTCGATTCTGCTGATTCACTTAATTGTGGTTGTACAACGAGTTGTCGTAAAGTACTTGGTGCTGTTTGCGATGAACTGCTGCTAGTACTAGCTGGTTGGAAATCTGGAAGACTACTAGTTGGCGAACTTGTTTCAGTAGTATGTACTACTTGTTGTTGTGACTGTTGTTGCTGATGAGGGGCAACCATTACTGGTGCAGTTGCCGTTGTGGGTAAAACGGCAGCTGTTCTAGACTGCACTACTACACTCATAGGTCGAATACTCGCTAATGGAGTTTCAGCACGAGCAGACATAGGTTTAATATTAGCTGTTGGTGGTTCCGTAGTAGCACTAATTCCACTAACGCCAGCTACTTGTCGCTGCAATTGAGTAACTCTTTGCACAAGAGTTTCTTTTTCTGCTTGAATTTCTGACTTTTCATGTTCAAGACGAGAAATTCTACTTTCCATTTGAGATTTAAGCGCTGCAAGTCTAGCATCATGTTCAGTAGTATCTGACTCGGTTGCACCAGCTTCGAATTTAGCTTTCAATTCAAGTAATTCCTTTTCGCAAAGTTTCTTTGATTCTCTTAGCCGCATAAGTTCAGTTCTTGCAGTTGTTAATGCTCGTCTTACACGTTCTTCTTTCTCAACGCGTGTTCTATTCATCGTATCGATCTCTTTCTTTAACGATTCTGCTTCATTTTGTACAACTATCATTTGACGAGACAATTCATCAACCTTTGATGTTAATTCTAGGTTTGCTTGACGCAATTCTTGTCTGCCTTCTTCTCGCAATTCATCTTCACGTTCTTGAGATACATGTGCGACATCTTCATTTCCAGAAATACCAGACGACATTCGAGATTCTTCAGATTTGCTTTTTTCTTCTTCTACTGTTTTCGCAAGTTCTTCAAACTGAGTTTTGTATTTTTTCGCTATTTTTCTTATTTGTATCTCTTTATTCTTTATGTCATTCAAAACTGCTTCTTTATCACCAAGCTCTTTTCTTAAGGTTGCTAAATCCTTAGCTTTAGAAGAAGAATCAGCAAGAGCTTGGTTCAAGTCTTGACTCAATTTACGTGCTTCTTCAGATGCTTTTTGAACTTCTTCTCCTTGAGTTTGTACTTGTTTTTGAAGCAGTGTTAACTGTTCTTCCAATTTAGTTTTTTCTACTTTCAATTGATTTAATTCTTCTGCGCGTTTAACATGTGTTTCACGTTCAGATGTAAGCAATTTACTAAGATTTTCCCGTTCAGTTTGCAACCTACGCCAATCTTCCGGACTTGTTTTGTTAGCTCTTTCTACTAATGTATTAGCTCTTTGTCTCCACCTAGTTGCTTCTCCTTTAAGACTTGTATTTTCTTGTAATAAGGCTTCAGTCTTTGCTTGTAAATCTCGAGATGTATCTCGAAGTGGTACTACTTCTTCAGAAAGTGTTGCTACTTTTGCAGTGAGCTCTGAAACTTTTGCACTTAAATTATCTCTTTCCTCTCTTAGAATTCTATTAGAATCTGTGATGGCATTTAATGTCTCAACTTTCCGCAATAACTCTGCATGTTTGGACGTGGTTACTATATGAATTTCGGACTTTTCTCTTTCCGAATTAAGGATAGCTTCTGTTTCCTTTAGTCTTTTTTCTATGACCTAAATTAATGAAAAATTATTAAAATTATATTAAAAAACTAAAATTTCAATAAAGAAATTAAATACTAACTTCCACTTGTGATTTTAATCTAAGATTTTCAGCTCTTAAAACATCAAATTTTGCTACAGCTAAATCTTTTTCACGTCTTAGATATTTCATTACTCTTAATAATTGTTCAGCAGATTTAGAATCATCTTCAAGTCCACTAAAGCTACGATTCATTGCTTCTAAGCTAGTATCAGGACTTCCCTGGTCACCTATCTTTGATTGTTGACTATGCATGATTGCAGTCGTATCGCTTAATTCTTGAATTTGAGTGTGCAAAATAGCATTTTGTGTATCCAAATCTGATATTCTTTGTTGCATTTCTTGGATCTCTTCAAGTAATCTTTTTTCTCTTTCTTGACAAGCTACTCTCTCAAGATTTAGAGCTTCTACAGCTGCATTTCTTTCTTGGTTTAAGCTTGCTATTTTTTGTTCTACAGTTTGTGCATCTTCTTTTAATTTTGCCAACATCTATAAAAGAATAATAAAAATTAACTTATTTTGTATTTTATTTATATGAAACGATTTTTTATTTACCTGCAAATCTGTTGAATGCAATACCATTTCTCTAGCATATTTTTCTTCAGTTTCTTTAACAGATAGTGAAGCGTTATGTAAATCACTTTTTACAATTTCTAATTCTCTTTTAACTTCATCTAATTCCTCAAGCTTTCTCTCTGCATCAGCTAATTTCTCTCGTAATTCCGAATCAGTTTCTTGTCGGCCATTAGATACCTTTGCTAATTCTTCTACTAATTCTTGAACTTTCTTTTGAAGGGATATTATTTCTACACGTGCTTCTTTTAAAGCGGTCTCTAATTCTTCTTTACATTTATTATGTTGCGCTGTTAATTCTCTTAATTGAGCTTCTGCACTTTCTGCTATATCGCAATATTGTTGACTTTGTTGCCGTGAAGCTTTTAATTGTTCTGTCAAAGATTTCGCTTCTGCTTGTGTTGTCGCTAGTTGCATTTCAAGTTCTTTTAATCTCTTTACGAGATGTTCATCACCTGCAGATTAAATAGGCACAAAATTTTATTTATAATTACCTCTGACTAAATAGATAAAAATTTAACTTTATATTTCACACGTACCAGTGAAAGATTTTGATATTGAATGAGTAACGGCTTGTCTTAGTTTTGTATTAAGTTCTTCTATACGTTGCGTATTTTGAGATTCGGATTGACGAGCTTGTTCCAATTCTGCGCGAATTTGTTCAGTTATATTGCGTTCCTCGGTTAATCGTTCTTGAACAGTAGTAAGTTGTCTTTCTAAATGTGCAGATAATTCTCTAAATCGATCTTGTTCTTCCTGTAATCGGCGTCTTAAAGCAGCACACTCTCTTGTAGCATCATCTAAACGCTGCTCAGCACGTAATTGACCTTCGGCTTGAACACGCTCTAAACTTGCTTTAATAGATTCAACATCTGCTCGTAATAAAGCTTGCGTTTGACGTTCTCTCTGATATACTTCACGTTCTTTCAGAAGGCGACCTTCAGAATCACGTAAAAGTTGTCTTTCTTGCCGTAAATTTTCTAATTGTACTTCAGCACGGGATAGCCGCGTTTGAGCTGCCAAAGCTTCATCTTTCAAAACCATTAGACTCTGCTCATGTTTGCCTGTAAAAAAAAACAATTTAATAATACTTTTTTAACATAACATCTATAAACATAGCAAATATTTTATACCAATTGTCACGTTGTAATTAAAACATTTTTCTTCAAGAACTTTTATTTGAGATTTGTAAGAAGCAACATTTGATTGTAAAAGATTAAATCTATCATTAGCTGAATCTAATTGTGCTTTTAATCTGCAGCATCGGGCCGAATTAGCTTCTGCTTCTTTTCTAAGCCTTTCTACTTCCTCTCCTAACATACGTTCATGGGCTGCCCTTTCTTTTTTGTATGTGTCATAATCATCTGTAATCTGTTTCAATTTAGCTTCAGTTTCTGCTAGTTGTTTTTGTAATTCTTTTTCTCTATTAATATCATCTTGTGTAATAGTAGCCACTTCATTTTTAATAGGTTTTGCTGTATCAATTTCTCCTCCTTCTTCTTCTTGCATCATAGAAAATTCTTTTTTTTCTGCGACATTTGTTTGTTTCAAACATTGTTGATACATGTTTTTATACATATCCCGTTGTCTCAAAAGACCATCTAACATCTTTGCTTGTCTGTCTTGAGCAGCTTGCATATCTTCTAGTTGTTCTAGGTATCTGTTATAATTATGAAAAACTAAAATAAATAAAAACAAACACTATTGAAATTTATTTTTAATACAATTACAAACCTATCTAATTTCTCTTTCATTTCCCCAGAATTTATTTCATCTGTTGCTCTTTCAATTTCTTCTTGTCTTGATGACAATGTACGAACTATTGATAATAACTTCTGATTATTTTCTTGTAATTCTTCAATATCTTTAAACGTGACCAGTTTTTTACTAATAATTTCAGACGAAGCAAGATTATCCATATCTACTGAATTTGAAAATTCACTTGTATTAACAGTTACACCGCTTCTACTTTCTTGAACTTCTTTTAAAAGGAAGCACACCTAAAAATAATAAATATAGTAATAGTATCATATATATAAAAATATATATAATAAATATAAAAATAGTATCATATACTGAAATACTATATATAAATATATGTAACTTTAATTGCTTACCTGTCTAGCTAAATCTGATAATTCTGTTTTCAATCTTTGATTTTCTTTAGTGTGATGCTTAGCAATGCGATTTGCTTCATCAGTTGTTTCTTGTAGCCTATGATTTTCTGCTAAAAGGTCATCTAATCTTGATGTTAGCATACCGATGTTGGTCATCGCAGTTTCATAATCTTCACGTTGTTGTTGTAAAATAGGAGCTTTTTCTTCTAATTCACGTAAAATAACATCCATTTGTGATTTTAAACGTTCATTTTCTTCTCGTTCTGAAGTTAATTCATTTGTTACATCAACTAATTGTGTATAAATTTGAGTAAGACTTAAGCCTTTTCTAAGCACTCGACTAGCTATAGCTGCTGTAGGTGCAAGTTGTTCAACAGCTTGATCTAATCTTTCTGTTAAAAAAACTGTATGATTATTAAACAAATAAAAGTGATATAAAAATGATAATGGTAAAGTAATTACCTTGTTTAATATTTTTCAGTAACTCATTAGCATGATTTAATTCCTTTGAAAGCTCATCTATCTTTTGCTCTTTTTCTTCTAATTCTTCTTTATATTGTAATTGAAGTTGATTATGCGTTGTCTCTAATGTTCCATATTGTTCAGTAGCATGTTCTAATAATTCTTGAAGTTCTTTAACTGCATTACTAAATTCTTCAGCTTTTGCGTTTGCTTCATCAGCCATGCCTTTATAAAGATCTGCTAATCTAGTCTGAGCACCAATTTCTTCTCGATAAGAAGCATGCATAGAAATTTCATGTGTACGTTGTTCTTCTAATTTTTGAGATAGTTCATCACAACGTCGTTGAAGAGATGTATATGATTCTCGTAACTGTACCATTGCTTCATTAGCAATACGTAATTCTTCATCACGCTGTGCCAAACGCGTATCCATTAAGAGCGTTCGTGCAGAAGCTTCTGCTCTTGTTGCTTGTAATTCTGACATTCTCTTTGCTAATTCTTCTTCAAGCCCAGCCATTTGTTGTGACAAAAGAGTCCTTTCTTGTTCCAAACGTTTTTCTCTAAAAAAAAATTAACATAACATATTAAATGAAACAAGATTTGAATCAATAATGAAAGAATTCATTACATGAATACATACTTAAATTCAAGAGTCATATCACGACTTCGAATTTCTTCTGTTTCTGCTAAAGCCTGACATTTTGCAGCAACAGCATTTTGTAACTGAGTTCCCAAAGAAGATAGTTCAGTATGCATTCTTTCAATTTCTGTATCTCGTCTTTCAACTTGTAGTTGCAATGTATCCCTTTCATCCACAACTGTATCTCTATGCCTACGTAAGTCAGCATTTTCTTTTTCTAATCTATAAATGTCAAATAATTAATTATGACGTATAATATGCATAAAAATACATATTTTACAATAATACCTTTTAATAATATCTTGCAACTTTTGTATTTCACTTTTAGTTTGATTTAAATCAGTTTGTAATTCAATAGTGTATTTTTCTGCTAATTGAAGTTTTCCTTTGCATTCTTCAAAATTTGACTTTTCCTCTGTTAAATCCTTTTGTAATTTATCTAAAGTTTGGTCTAGTAAATTTCAAATATAAAAATTTGTTCATTTTAATAACGAAATAATAATCAAAATAAAGATTTTGTAAGTTATCTAATAAGTTATTTAATAAATTAGCTTAATCAAGTTTTTTATAGCACAATTTCATTTTATTCATTAACAATAAAGTAATAAAATATTTAATGAAAATTATTTAATGAGTGCGGCACATTCCTACATCAAAGAGGTTAACTTTTTGTGTAAATAAACTAGTCGATCGTTACCGTAACAAAAAGTTCTTCGTAAAATTCAATTCAAACTTACCAAAATTTTTTCTATTAGTTTCAAAAACTGCTTTCGCTGTAATATATTGCTCGAACTTATCGTTGAAATAAGCATTAAGCTTTTTTGCTAATCCTTCAGGAATTTGCGTTAATTCTTCTTCACTTAAAATTTCTCGCAGCACATTATGTTCATTCTCTTCTGTTTTTTCCATCTTTTCGTTTAATCTTAATTAAAATTCAAAAAGATTTTTTTCTCAATAATGAGTTAGTACTTCGTTAATAATTAGGCTCGATCGAAAACACATTTGCTCAAACATTCAAAGTACCTCGTCTTCCTTTCTGTAAATCGCTATGGCCTTTATTGAACTGACGCGGATCGCTATCTAGGCTAATACTAACTCTACCATTGTACTCAATTGTACGTAGCGCTAGTGTACCATTTTATAGTATATTAAGAACAAAGAATTGGTAATTAAATGATATTTGTTATTTTCTTTATAATTTATGAACATATATAAATAAGATTTATATAATTTTGTATGATCAAAGTTTTTAACATATATGGATATATCCTGTAATCTTTCTTGTTTAATTCATTTTTCTTCTTTCACAATATTATATTTTTTCATTCTTAAATTAAATTGAAACGTTTTATTTAAAAATAATATATACACGTATTAATTTTAATTTTTATTTAATTTTCCTTTTAATAAGAGAATATTTATATTTTAGGTATTTGTTTTGAAAATTATGATTGTTAAAATTAATGAAACTCAAAAATGTAAAAATAGTAAGTAACAAAAACAGAAGAAAATATAGTGTGTAAATAATAGTTTAAAGAAATTAACTAAGAAATTCATCAACCGATTAATTATAATGTTTTTTTTAAAACCAAATTGTTTTTCAAAACTGAAAAATGTTATAGGTTATGTAAATAATCATTATTATATCAAACAAACAAAACTTTTATACACATTAAAAATATGTACCTATGTTAATTATACAAATAACAGAACATATTCATGTATCAAACTATGCTATTATATAGATCAATTCAACAAAAGGAATATTGTAATTACACAAAGCAAAAATGATCTTTCATACTTATCAATTTATAATAAAAGATTCTGTACAAAAATACTACCAAAGAAGTCTAATGTATTTGGAGATCTTTCATATGATGACTATGAAAGAACTGAAATGGATGAAGCGGAAAAAAAAGAAGAAAAAATTATGGAGAATGTATTTTCAAAAAAACAAAGATTCACTCATATACACTATGTTAAGCTTATTAAAAGTCATTTAAGTAATAAAAATTTGCAATTGGCTTTAAATGTATTAACTATAATGAAAGAGAATCATGATAAACCTGATTTGTATATATATAGACTGTTAATTTCTGCTTTTGCTCAGCAAGGTGATGTCAAACAATGTTTTAAATTATTTAAAAAATTAAGAGAAAGAGGTTTTATTCCTACTTCAACTGTGTATAATAGTTTGATGCATGCTTGTGCTGAGTCAAAGGATACTGAAATAGCATTAAAATACTTGACATTTTTACGGGAACATTTCTATGTAAAAAAAATAAATTTAAGTGATATAAATTATGCAACTCTTATTAGAGCTTATAATCAACATAAACAAACTTTAACTGCTTTTGAAATAGCAGATGAAGCAAAAGATAAAGGCATTTATACACAGGATATAATTGCTGCTTTGTTTAATGGGGTAATAAATGATACAAAAAATGGATTAAAACACTGTTTAATTTTGTGGCATAAGACGAAAGTAAGCAAAATAAAACCAACTATATTTCACTATAATCTTCTCTTAAGGGCAATCAGAGACACAAAGTTTGGTGATTTAAAAGTAAATGATATTATAGTACCAGAATTAATAAACACTAAAATTCAATTCATTGAAACAGGAAGACCAGATTTATTAGATTCTCCACCAGTATTAACTACTTCACTTATTTCATATTTTCATATACCTAAGAAGCATAATTATTGTATCCCAAATGAAAGTTCTAAATGGCAAAGAGAGCTAGATACAATTGATAAAAATTCATTATTATCCTTAAATTTAAATAACATATTACAAGAAAATCGATTGCTCTTATTTGGTGGAGTTGATAAGTTATTGAAACATATGAAAGATGATAATGTGCAACCTGATGTAAAGACAATAACATTACTCTTAGATTTAATTCCACCTACAATAGAAGCAGAAGAAGATTTTTTTAAATATATTGTTAAAAATAAACTACAAATTGATATAAGTTTTTTTAATATGCTTATTAAAAGGAGATGTTTAAGAAAGCAATACAAAGATGCTACAGTAAGTATGCAATTATAATTTTAGTGAAATCCATTTTTAGTAATATTTAAAGATTCTTAATAATTTATATTTTAATGTAGGAAGTAATTAATAAAATTCAAACTTATCATATGATACCAAATATTGTTACATTTGGAGTATTAGCAATTGGATGCAGAATGGAAAAAGATGGAAGAGAACTTTTAGAACAGTTAGATACTATTCATTGTGCACCTAATTATGTGATTTTAGGAACATTATTATTTAATGCATGTAGTACTAGAAATTGTTCTTATGCATTATTTTTAATGCAGTATACATTGAAGAATCAAATTAGGCCATCGCAAGATATGTTGAATAATTTGGAAAAATTTGATAGAACAATGTTGGAAATTGTTAGAAATAAGGTATATAAATTATTTTAAAAATAACTCTGAAATATATATAGTTTATAATAATTTTAATATTTACTAATATTTTAGGATAAATACAGACATAAAGCAATTAATAAAATTATGAAAGATTATAATAATTTTAAAATAAAATATGAAGATTGGAGAACCAAAATACAAAATGATATGGTTTAAAAATATGAAGACTAACCATTTTCTATTTACAATTTGATTTTAATAATGTAATATATTGATTTTAATTTGTAATGTAAAAAATAATATATAGAAATAGTTGCATAATAAAATTTGTACACAAATATTTTTATGTATTTTTTATCTTACATTTATGTATATACATAACTATTTTTAGCAGAATTCAAAATAATTAAATTGAATAATCTAACGTAATAATATACTATTTTCCTAAAAAGAAAATTTTACAAGAGTTATTTTCATATTTGATTTCATAATTTGATTTTAATATTAATTGATAATGTAAAAAATAATAAATTTGAAATAGTTTCATGATAAAATTTATACAAGTATTTTTAAAAAATACATAAATATATTTTTTATCTTACATCTATGTATATAGATAATTATTCTTAGCAAAATTCAAAATAATTAAATTGAATAAGCTAACATAATAATAGCTTTATTTTATTTTCTTAAAAGAAAATCTTACAAGAAAGAGTTATTTTCATATTAAATTTATTATAAAATCCTTATAATTAAGATTCTCAAATAAATTAGCGAAGATAAGGAGGACGAGTTTCTTGTGTCCAAGGACGACTTCTTGTTCCTGTATTGATTGCACGTGAGGGACAAGTACCACGAATACTAAGTTTATTATATCCTGTAGGTCCCGTTGGTTGTGCTCCACATGTTTCTAATGCTACAAAATCATCTACATGAAGGGAAGGTGGTCGTGAAGTATTTGGTGGTCTCGATCTAAATGGATCTGCTCCTCTCCCCACACTTCCTACTACTGGACCACTTCTCAAAGAACTAGTATATTGTGTTCGACCCCGCATAGGTGTAACTGTAAAAAAAGATTTTTCAATTAAATTTTTATCAATTTTGTACTAATACAAATAATTACATGTAACAAATGTATAATTTACCAAACGGTTGTTTTACTTTAGAAACAGGAGATGTTTGTTTTTGTACATCTCTAGTTTCTTGATCATCAGTCTGAACTTTTGATTGTAATGGTTGTGTAGCATCATCAGGTGGAGTTTTAGAACATAAATTTTGAGCTTCTGTTAACAAATTAAAATCGGTAGGAAGTAGTTCAGCTGCAAGTGCTAATAAATCTATTGTATTTTCATTTGATACTTGATTTGGGCACATAAATGTAAATTTTTTTGATCGTTTAGAAGCAAAATTTGGAGTACCCAAACATCGTTGAGAGAATTGATTCAATAGAGCTTCAGGAGTTGGTAATAATGGCTCTAACATTTCTGGAATTGGTTCTTTTTCTTCTTTATCTTCTGCAGATTTTAGGATTTCAACTAATTCTTGTGCACGTTTTATTTTTTCCAAAGGATGATCATTCTTATCCCACAATATTAAAGCTGCTAATTGCTGTATACGTAGATACAAAGATCTTCCTTGTGATTCAGATGCAATTAAATTTTCTAAAAACATTATAGTTAAATCCACAACAGATTGAGCTTCTGAATCTTCCAAGGTAGAGATATGGTCTAATAATGATCGTAATGCATCAGGATTGTTTTCTAAACAGCTTTTTACATGATACAAACCATAATTATGACTAATAAGAGACAAAAGTATACGAAGTGTACTTTGTAATATATCAGATTCAAATTTTGTACTAGTTGCTAATATATCAATTAATGCAGCTAAAATAGATAAAAGTGGTTCTTTACTCGGTACTGAATGTGTAAGTTTCTTTTCAAATGGTTCACTGTTATCTTCTTGCATAAGACTTAGTGTACAATCGCACAATGTTTCAAAGATATCTAAAATTTCATATTGCATTCGAATATCGTTCGTATTTTTAAGTACCACACACATCATTTCAATAACAGGTGGATATTTTTGGTCAGATTTAACTTGTGCTCTAGATGCAGGACTGGTTAAAGTTAACAAAGTAGCTTTCATAGGTGCGTGTCTTGCAAGTTCACTAAGTAAAACAAGAATTAAAACATTACTTTCTAGCGGTGTGGCAGCTATTACACCATCTAATAAACATCTACCTACAAGTAATGCTGTAGGTGCTGCTAAATCACTTAATTGTTTACATACTTTTGAGAGAAGTACTAATAAATCTTTATTCCAACTTGCACAAAGTAGTCGTAATGTTTCAGTTAAGTTATTAGCTTGCGCTTGCAAGTGTGCAGACCATAATTTTCTAAAGCCTAAAACTCGGGTAGCATCTTCGGTCATTGTTTCTTTTAAAGTTAAAACAGGTGGCAATAAACTTGTTAAAAGTTTTAAGCCAGGTATAAAATTACATGGGCTTAGAGAAACCATCTTGAGGACTTCACCTAACATTTGTGTCCATAATGATTTTGCTACATTTCCTGATCCATCTGAATCTACAGCCTGTGTAAATACTAAAAGTGTTCCTACTATCTCTTCAGATAAAGTTTGAACAATTCGAATAGGAGGAATAGCGTCTACTAATGAATAAACGCCAAGTAATGGTATCACAGCTGTTAGATCTTTGAAATCTGTAGCCATACATTTCACAAGACGTTCCAGTAATGCTCTTGTTAACTTTACACATGGAAGAAGTAATGCAACTAATGCTAAACCTCTTCTGCCTGTTAGAGCTGCACGATGTAAAAATGGTTGTTCATAAAATTCTGAAATATTGGCCATAACTGCAATAAGAGCTGTTAAGCCATCAGCAGCAAACAATTGAGTTAATGCATTCCTGTACTTTAATTCAATGTAAGGTTCCATTGGATCTATATCATTGTTTGAAGGAAAGATAAGATAATGTAGAATTCTACATGCTGTAATTAGTTGTCCTGGCAAAGAAGCTGCCTTATCTGCATTTTTTCTAATGCATGCAACAAGTGGAGAAACATCCCCATAATTCCAATGAGATGGCTGTGCTGCTGTTGTCAGATATGATACAACATCTTTTAATACAGCTTGTGTTCGTGATTTTTCTAAAATAATTGCAGCACGATTTTGAAATATTTCTATTCGATCAGAATAACGAATTGTTGCTGATATAATTTCTGCAGAGAATTCACACAAATTTGAATCAGAAAGATAAGGAATTAAAATATCAATAAATTCTCCTTTAGGAAGTACTGTTATTATAGCTTGTAAACCTTCAGGAAATATCAAGAAAGAATGAAGTTTTTTTAAAGCCATCCAATCAGAAGGTTGATATTTTAAATGTAATAAACATTGTACCACTTGAAGACGCCAAGCTAAAACTGATCCTGCACCAGGTAAATCACATTTTAAAGCTTTTAAGATTAATTTGGTAACTTCTGGATCTTTTAATAAATATAATAAACCTTCTTTTGTACCAGACATACGTAAAAGAAAACGTCGAGTAGCTTTAATTAAACTCAAATCTGATTTTGGAGATGTAAGGGCAAATAGAATATGATATAAAAGTTTGTGATATTCAAAATATGCTATCAAATGACATCGAGGATTTCGATTATGCTCTCGTTCAAATTCCATTTGAGCTCCAGCTGGAAGCTGACGTTTTGGTTGAGCCATTAATGTGGGCGAACATACATATGTATTTGTTAATTCCGTAATAGCCAACTCATCAATTTCTTTCATTTCATCAAGAAATTCATATGTATGAACTTTTCGTAATAATGAACTTAAAGCATATTTTAATCTTGCTAATTTTGCTGTATCTAACATCATTAGAGCATTTTTATATAAATTACTTTTTGATTTAAGAAATTCTCGAACAATTATTGGACTTATTAATGCAGCATCCAATGTACGAAGAGCAGAAAGTTTGACAGGAAGTGCTACATTTTCACGCATGCACAATGCTAATAATTTATAAGGTGCATCTACTTTTAACAGAATATCTGGACCTTCTGAAAGTTTACACAAAGTTTCTGCTAATCGTACACCAACTTTAACGTGACGAACTTTGTAAGCTGGTTGAGGTTGAGCACGTGCAAGATCCATATCTAAACCAGCATTTACGATATTGGTCAAATCATTAAAATCTGTATTATTCAAATGAAAAGGACTGAGTATTGCGCATAAAGATTCACAATTATGAACAAATGCTTCTTTTTCTTGACCTGAAGCATTATTAAAATGTAAAACTGATTTTGATAGAGATTGAAATATTTCATGAATCTTATCCAACATTTCCTTGCTAATGTGGCATTCTTCAGCAACATTCATTGATTCTTCCAATTCCAATAGATCAGGTGGTGTTATAGAATAAATATTATTTAACTGAATATTTTCACATTCATATTCTGCTGTAGATGGTATGTCATCTGCCATTATATCTTCATCAGATAATATAGGCTCAAAAGGTTCTCCTGTTTCTTGTTCACCACCATCCTGTTCTGCTTCTTCTTCTTCAGCTGATATGCTTTCAGGACTTAAAGAAACTAAAGATTCAGAAGGTGGTGAAGAAGGACGTTTTGTAGATTTTAAAGTGCTATTTGTAGCATCTTCTTCCCAATGTCCCATTTCTGTTTTTCCAGTATCTGATGTTGAATTTCTGGATGATTCTACTATTTGAATTGGTTGTATAGGAGGTGGAGGTGTTGCTGCTACACATGTTTCCTGTAATATAAATTTTTTTATAATATAAATTTTCTAAGACCATTGCTGTAAAATTGAGTCTTATAAATTTATAAATGTATATGCAAGTATGGGTAAATATGTACACACATAAAATATACTTATGTATAACATACATTTGAATTTGTCTGTGCTTGATTTTCATAGTACCATTCTGATTGTTGTTCTGAAATTTGAGTAGCATTTTCCCCAGTTTCTTCTAATCCACTAACACAAGCTGCAGAACCAGCAGCAGAACTAACAACTTCTTGAGGATTATTTAAAGATTTTGTTAATGTTCCATATACTGCTAAAGTAATAGTAGTATACCAGCCCCTCAATACCAATCCATCTGTTGGTATTTGTTTCCTTTCACACTCTAATTGAATGTGAATATTTTGTTTATATTCCAATTCCCCAAGTGATTCAAATGTAGAAGCACCAGGTTTACTTAAATCATTTACAAAAAATTCAATTTCAAACTGAGATGGATTTGTAGCCCTAACATACAAAAAATAAAATAATTTATTTGGAAAAGAATCACTTTTTATGATTTTTATCAAATAATTCAAATACCCTAAACGAACACCTCCAGGAAAATCAGCTTGAACTCTAGCACCTAATGGAATAATTCTAACTTCACTTATATAAACAGGTTTTGGAAATTGCACTAAATCTAAATTAAGTTCCTGAAACAATTTTGTTAAAATTATTATATTATATTATTATAGATACATAAAGTAACCTAACACTTACTTCAGAAATGTCATGTGAAAATGTATCAAAGAATAATAATTCTGTATTTTCCATTTTTTAATTATCTCAATATAAAATAGTTTGAAATATATATCATTTTCCTACAAAAAATCAAATTTATGTTTATACTACTTGATACAATAAATATTTTCAATATGTATGACTCCTTTATTTAACTGTATGACAAAATTACATTTTACTTTAATATTTGTATTTACCTGTAAACAAGATATTAATATTTATAATATATTTTATGTTAAAATTAATGTCTCAAATCATTTCAATAAATTATATGCATAGTGTACGTTTAATTTGAATTTTGAATTAAGAAGTATTTTAGAAGTATTTTATATTAGAACACATAGCAGTAAAAAGAAATTGAAAATCTTGAAATTTTTATAAATTTAGATATTTTCCATTCAGTAATTTTTTATTCTTTTATAATAATATATATTTATTAAATTTACGTAACGCCATCTGGTTTAATATCTATCTTCGGTTTTATTCGTTCTACTTCGTTATGAGAGAAATTGTAATGACTAATACCTGTGCAATCTTCTTTGCGGACAAATTTTTCTTTCTGTTGTAAAATTTTTATCTGCGATAAAACTTAAATTTCATATATTTTGTATATTTGCCCGATTTTAATGGGTACTTTTTATATGTATTTTATAAGTAGTACTTACTGAATAGCTGTGATAACGGCATAACTGATCTGCGTCACTGGTTGCATTCTTGATTATTTGTAAATTTGTTTTTTGAAATCGTGATACAGCTGCAATGAAACAAAAGTTATATTAGATCAGTAAGTGTGAGGAGAGTTATAATTCATACTGTATAACATTAGAATATTGTAAATATCTGAAATATTGTTATTAAATTTGACAAATATATAGTTATCTTTTTTAATAAGGATCTTTCATATTATATATTGTAACAATATGTATGGTTAAATTTCAGTTTTGAAACAGATGAAAATTTTTGTTAACATTATTTTTAGATTCAATACCATGTATATATATATGTTTTAAACTCATAAGGAATAAATGAATTGTTGTCAAAATGTTTATGATCATTATTTTTATTTATTGAAATATATAACATTATTATATTATCAAAAAAATTATTAAAATTTTTAATTTTATATTTGTATTTACCTTCTATATGACTTATACTTTTGGATCTCAAGAAATTAAATATGTTTGTGTATGTATAATTAAGTAATAATAAGGAGATTTTTTACAAATATCAGATATAATAATTATTTACTTTTAGGGATGGTAACTACTGGAGCCACAGTTTTAATGGCAACCAGTGAAGGAACTTCAAATGGAATACAAAATAATTCCACACAATATGAAAATCAAAATATTTGTTGTCGCTACAATGAGGTACATAATAATCAGCAAAATTCAGAATGTCCAATTAAAAAGAATATAACATCTTGTAACACAAATAGTAAGTATAATCCATATATCTCTAAACTTCATAATAAGTTTCATCAGTTTAAATATCTATTATTAGTGTAAAAAACAATTGCCAAAAAATTAATTTTTTGGAATATATGTAATGTACTTCAGTTTAGTATTAATAATTGTCAATATTTTTTGTAACAGAAGATAAAGGTCGTACCTCCATGTTGGAAAAGAATAGTCGATTGATTTCAAGATCAGAAACTAAGGAAAGTAGTAAAAATCATATATTACATAAAACAGCATTAGTTCGTGAAACAAAAGCTTCTAGATTACGAGCAGCCTCTATTATATCACCTAATGGTAAGTTACATTTATAGTTATTTTAAATCAGTAATATTTATATATATGCGTGTTGTGTAGGTGGAACAGTGTTGTCAAGAAAATTGGGTATGTCAGAAAATTCTACATCTTTGGGCCTCCAACCTAGTACTAGTTTATCAATTAAAGATGTAAGTTATCATAGCTAATGTGATTATAGAATATATATTAATATAATATGTTATACAGTATGTAATAATTTTGTGCAGGAACATCCAATATCAAACAATAATGGTATTATAAATTCGTCATGTGAAAGAGATAAAAGTTATAAACGAAAATCATATTTAAATCGTTCACTTAATATGGAAACAATAACAGGAGATCGTTCAAACCAATGTAAGTAATGTAAAAAAATTTATTTTACTTTATTAAATATTTTATTTTGTTAAAAATTTTATATATATTTTAGCTGAATGTAATATTAGACAAACTAGAAGACAATCAAATAAACAAGGCTACATATCTGATACAATATCTACTTCATATTCTAGTAATCAACAAGAAACAACTAATTTAAGTAAAAAGTCTTTTGACTTGAAAAACACTTGCCAGAAAGTTAAAGAAAATTATTCAAAAACTTATACATTGCCCTCATTGAATTCTCCTGCAAATAATAAAAATATACAACGAACTAGGTAATTGTATTCATTAATATTTTTAAAATCTTTTTCTTATTTTGTAATTTTTTCAATTTATATCAATTTGTATCAAATTTAGAATTGCTATAAAATTTAATATTATAGTAGCGGTGGACATAGTGATTCAGAAGTTTCACGAAGAGTTGACGCGTTAACAGCGTTAACAAAATCTACAATAGAACGTGTAGAAAGACTTAAGTCACACTCAAATTTGTCGACAAATTATGGATCACGATTAGAAAATCATTCATCTAATATACCAAATCAAGCTACAGAAAATAGTACGAATAATACGCGTGCATTGCAATTATCTCCAAGAAAAAGTTCTATTTTGAAAAAGTCAAATGATGAACACTCTCAAGATGGATCTTTAAGTCATCAACATATACCAGTTTCAATTCTCAAACATAAGATGTCTGATATTGATACAAGTCAAAATATACCTACCACTGCGAATCACACAGTTTTGCCTGTAACGTTTTCACCATCTGTTAGAGAACTTACACATAAAAAACATGGTATTTTAAAAAAGCGGAGTAGTTTGGACGAAAGTGAAATACTTCGACGACGCAGTTGCTCACCCGATATTTCGTCTATTGACAATACCTATTCTGAGTTCAGGCCAATATTAAAAAATCAAAGACGATCATCTTTAGATGAAATTATTAAAAGGGATCAGAGTCCAGATCCTCAGCCTACTTCAATATTAAAACGAAAATCATCTAGAGAAGATGATCGAGAAGATCGTCAGATTGGTTCTGCAGAACCACAGGGTATACTTAAAAGAAAATCTACAAATAGTCAACGAACAACTACTGCTAATCATCATGTGACTATTACAATGGATACAACAATTGTAAGTGGTTCTGAAATACTTGATAGTTCTGAAGTGAGGCCAATCCTAAAGAAAAAGCATAGTAGAGAAGAATCATTCGGTAATGATCCACCATCTTTAGAACCACGGCCAATACTAAAAAAGAAATCGAGTACAGAATCGGATGAATATGATGATAAACCTAAAAAAACTATTTTAAAATGTACTCGAAAAAATTCACAGGATGAATGTAACTATGAAACAGAATTGACCTCGCCAAAAAAATTGTCAATGCTTAGAAATCGTACTTTACAAAATAGAACAAGTGCAGTATTAGAGAATGATCCTGTACGACCTATATTAAAGCAACCCGGCAATAGAGACAACGAATCACGAGTCCGTTTAAACTTATACGATGAAACAGTTGTTAGTGATGATATATGTATAGAACCAGCAAATTTATTTTTGCGAAAAAGAGCACAATCTGTGGGCCATATACAACCTTCTATTTCTAATGAATTCAATGCTGTACTTAATAAACGAAGATCTCTTGAATTAATATCTGTAGGTGCTATATCAGAAGAAAAATCGCAAGTAAAATTAGCAACCAGTAATATCTATTTAAAAGCAGCCCCTTCCTTAGGTGATGACAGTGCCAATATTTCTATTATTCCTTGTGAAAAATTGTACAGGTAATTCAAAAATTAAACTATCATTATTTATCAAAGATTATATTTTTTAATTATCTTTTATTCTTTGTATTTAAAAAACAATTACATTAAAATTCTGTTATTCTAAACCTTTCATTAAAGTACATGCTTTAATTTTTATTAATTTATTATTATTTATCAATATGATATATATTTAGTATTCTGTAGCATATATTTATTTGTGTATTTAATCTGAATAGTAATATGTAACTTTGGCAAGATGTTGAATCTGTGCCAAGTTTAATTATAGACTACCTAGCAATTCTAAAAGCTACAGAAAACAGAGAATCGGAGCATGCACACAACCTGTATGTCTGTTTAAATGTTAATTTTGATTTAAAATAGTATTTTGAATTTTTTTTCTTAAACACATTTATAAAAAATATTAAATTTAGAATATTTTCTTTCTTTTTCATTTACTTGTATGTATAAAATATATGCATAAACCAATATAAAGATTGTAAAGGTAAGAAATATTTTTAAATTTCAATAATAAATGCTTTTTATTAAATATTTTTATATACATATATTTAAATACATAATGAGTCACGAGATTTTTGCAGTATAAGGCTTAAAATAATATCATGTTAGTATAATAATTTACATAGATTATTAATTTTCTTTTTTAATTGTAAAAAATATTTAATAAACTAGTAACGTGTTTAATTACAGCACAGTAAAAGAGAAATTTGCAGATAAAGAAAAGCAAACTGTCATAGTATTTGAAAGTGAAGAAGGAAATAAAGTGATTTCACATGGACTTGTAGATAACAGTGTTGATAATAGTACTTCAGTTTCTATTAGAATGAATGATAAAGAGTATTCGAGTAATCAAACGCTGTGTGTGCAAGAAAAAACAAGTGATGGAAACATCCAAGAAAGTAATGGTATACACTATAATAACAATGTTTCCAAAATGACATTGCATTTTAAAACTTTACAAGAAAAAGCAAATTCCAAAGAAAAGGATGTCATATTTCAAAAAACACAAACTAAAGGTTCACGTGGTATACAACGATATAGAGAACGAAAGAATCAAGGAAATGATAGATTTAATACTCAACCAGTGACTTTTCAAGAAGTGCAGGAAGCAGTTTTGCAAAATCAACGCAATGCCACATTAGTTAAAAAATCAAATTTGACAGAAACTACGACTGATGATGAATTTGATCCCTCTAAATTAAGTTTGGCAGAACGAGTAAATTTGTTTAATCAGAAAATTGAAAAAACTTCAGTATCAAATATACCTTTGGAAAGACATTCACGAAGACGGCCGGCTGCTCGTTATAAAACACAACCAGTTACATCCGAGGAAGTTGAAGTAGCATCTCGAATATCTCCATTGAGTACTATTAATCAACGTCTATTAGATACTAGTAAGTTTTGCTTATTCACTGAAATGTGTTTTTGTATAATATAAATTACCAATATTTTAATTGTTTCATTTTTGGAGGTGATCTACCAAAAAGCATTTTAAAGTCTGTGGCGTTACATGCACCTAATTTGTCGCAAACAAAAAATCTTGAACTTGAAGGAATGAAGTTAATAAAATCTGTACTTAAAAAAGAATCTGAAGAAATAGAACAACAGACACTTCAAAACTGTGATATTTCATCACGTTCTGTAATAAAACCTAATTTAAAATTAGAAGAAAATAAGGTAAATAGTAATACTTGACAAGAAAAGATAAACGACTTAATATGAACGTGACTTTAGTTTTGATACAAGATGTTATGTACAGACAGGAAGCATAATAGAAAATAATTATCCAACGCAATATGGTTTGAATTGTACCTATAATGAAAAGGATAATCATACAGAAGGTAGGCAACATGAAATTAAACAAAAATATACAGTACCTTTTCGCAAATATAGTACACAGGATGAATTAAGTAGAACAAAATTCAAATCTTCATTAAATGACATAGATAATGTTCAAATTACTACATCTAAAAAATATGAAGACATTTTACTACAAATATCTGGAGGTGAGATATTCTCTGTAAGTCATGAAATACACAACATAAAAGATGAACCTGCGGCTCCTTCCTGTCATCCTATTTTTTCGAAACAAACCAGGTAACAAATTTTATATTAATTTATTTATTAAAATTATTTTAAATGAAACATTATTTTATATTTTAATTTTATATTAACAAGGTTTTTAGAAGTTGCATAAATTATGAAAATATTTGCTGTACTTTTTCTAGTACAGTATATTTTATCAAATATGGCTTTTACGTGACGTCGAACCTTTTATTTATTACTTTAACTACTGATAAGATTACGTTATGTAAAAAAGCATAAGTGTAGATGCATGTATTGTACTACTTGTAGGTGTACTTCATTATTGAAGAGTGTCAGCCATCACGCAATTAGCAACAAAACCAATGAAAGTGAATCGAATAATACAATAATACAAAAACAACATGGTGTACCTCTTCCAGGATTATGTCGTAGCGTAACACAAGCAATACCGATAGTAGATATTAATGATGGTCCAAGTATGAGTATTGCAGAACGATTAGCTGCACTACAACGTAGTGGAAATACAAATTGGAAGCGCCGTATAGCTCCTGAGTCAGCTAATTCATCGGTAAACTGTATTAAATTAATTTTATTACAGAGTTAAAATACATTGCAATATTTATTATTATCAATTAAAATTGATATCAGGATGGAGTATATTCTAATTCATTGAATAAAGAAGAAGTGAGCATCAAACAAGGAGTACTTGCAGATTGTCTTGGAAAGTTAGAATCTGCAACAGAGGATTGGAAGAAAAGAATAGCAGCTCCAGATGTAACAAAATTTACAGCAGCTGGTAAAATGAAAGTAGAACAATTAGAAAACTTAGATCCAGGACCATCTTCTCCGCTTATTGAAGTTACAGGAAATATTACAGATAGAAAGAAAAAAACTCCTCGTCCTGAACGATTTAGAGCGAAGAAAGGTAATATTTCAAATCTGAATTTTTAAGAGTAAATGCCATCATATATTTTATATTTTCAGGATACGCAAAAGATGCTATATCTACACCAGCTAGCCCAAATAAAGATTCATATATTAAATTGCGAGGCAGCTTCTCTGAACCTACAAGCGATGACAGTGGTTAGTAAATAGTTATTTTAAGAGTTTTATCAGAATATTTTCTTTCACCATTAGCATTACTTGAAAATGTATTTTATAGCTGAAGAGTTGAAAACGGGAAAGAATGTATCACCTATTGTCTCAGTACCTAAGATAGATAACGAAACATTTACTTCTTTCTTTACTGGAATTTCATTAGAAAAATGTGAGGCTGAATCTGTTGATTTAAATGAAAGCGATTTTGATATGATTACATCACAATCTGAATTGTGAGTCTTTTATTTTTTACTAATATTGTTAATCATTCATTAGATTTCAGTTCTTATAAATTTATATTCTTATAGATTGGTTCAAAAACGAAATATACGATTGAAACGACGACGTATTGTATCTAGAAATCCACTTAAAACGCTTGCAGCTCGTACTGATTTAAAATCAGAGTATACTGAGATACGAACTGATATTGCAGAAAAAGTAATGAAACAATTAAATATTGAAAAATGTAAGTGTTCGTAAAGTATCAAATAATTGATATATGCTACTATAATAATTATGTTATTACACTATGTTACAGTAGCTAAAAATTCGTCATTAGCTATGGAAGCTCTAGCTGGCTTGGCTTCTACTGAAGACTTTTGTAATGTGACGTTAAGGAATATAGCAGAAACAAATATTTCCACGAATAGATTACAACCATACAAAGATTTGATGTTAATATTAATTAAAGGCCGGAGACATGTACAAGTGAGATTAGTTGAGCCAGTTGCAAAAAGCATCAATAGTGGTGATAATTTTGTTCTAGTAACAAAATCAGAGGTTTATAATTATGTTGGAAAATATTGCAATGTTATTGAAAAAGTACGAGGTGCGGAAATTGCAATGAGTATTCAGCAAAATAAAGATCTTGGTTGCCAAACATCCCAAGTTATTACTATTATTGAAGATAAAATAACTTGTACAAAAAATCAACTGCAAAAATTTTGGAACTATCTTGGAGTAGGAAGCGAGAACGTCGATGGTAAGATAATATTTTCTATTATAGATAAATATAAGAATATTCTAGCAATAATATAATAATAATAATAATAATAATAATAATAATAATAATAATAATA